AGCACAGCGCTAACTTGACTCTGTGACAACAACCGGGCGTATCCAATAGGAGGGCAGATCAGATCACAACAAACGGTGTCCCTCTCTCCCTCTCTCTATAACACAAATTTAAAGGCCTACCGGGACATCGGCAAGCAAAGCTCTAGTTTGAAAAGAAATGTCCAACAGTTTGGATGTACCAGGTGTGTTGTCTAGCAGTCGTTATAGAGCTGAAACTCCTGGATGACCCTAAACTCCCCCAAATCGAGTCATGCCCTTCTTCTTTGCTACTCATCTCTTCCTCCTCAGCAGAAGAAAGGTCCGAGGGCTGTCTTCCTATTAGTATAAATAAATAATACAATGCAAATATATACATATAAATACATTGTGCTGTAGTAGGATCTATTTTCACGACTGTCTTTTCGGTCACTTCATAACTTCATAACCGATGGACGTGATGATGTGCACGACCCAACTCCGCGCCGTACCCCGCTGCTTGCACGACCCACACCGTATCCTATGTGAAAGTCCCTTTAAGGAGCATTTCTATCAGGTTGTGACCTCTTTATTTAGGTATTGTGTTGTTCCTGGTATAAATGATTAGCTTGAATCTAACAAAAATACACAAGAAGAATAAGGCAGGAATAGATCTGCAACTCCTGTGTTTTGTCCGGTAAGTTACTGACAACTTTCAAACACTTCTAATAACAATTCCAGCTAGTCAGTGGAATCAATAGTATTTTTAAAGGACATACTGTGGTCACTGTATTTGACCTATAGGAATATTTTGCAGCAGTTACAGCTGTGTAGTGGCTGCTGTCTCAGGTGAACAACTAGATCACTTCCAAAACAGAATGCATCTATGAATCAAAACATGTTAAAAGATTAAACATAAAATAATTCTCCTTCATCGTCTCTCAGCCAGTGAGAAACCACAACAGCAAAAGTTGTCATAAGACTGCTTTCTAGTTAAGGTAAAAGTTAGAGAGGCAGGATCCAGATGACAGGAGGGTGGGTGAGGGTCTGTATCTGCCATTCCCACTCTCCATCTCCCTCCCTCCCTCCACCCCTGCTCTCTCCCCCCCCTTCCTCCCACTCACCTATCCTCCTCCTGCCAGCCCGCCTGCCTTGGCAGCAGCTAACCTGCTGGGACCGGCGCTTGATTTATTTGGAGAGGTCCCTGGAACGGAGGGGCCAGGATGAGTGGCATTTTAATGTGCTTTTGAGATGTTTGGTCACAAGCGCTATTGATCACAGTGCCGCAGCGCACACCCCTCCCTCGCTCACTGTCCCGCAGACCCTCGCGCTGCCCTGGGGGAGAGGTCTGGCTGTCAGGCAGGGAATGAGTTTCCATGTGGGTTTAGATTAATGAAATGAGGCCCCTGTTTGCAGGGGGTGCAGGGGGGTCAGACCATTAAGGGATCCCTGGGCTGGGTGAGATTGAGCCTGCCAGCTGACTGGACCCTGGCTGACTGATGGACGTCCAGGACTGCAAAGAGAGAGAGGGAGAGAGTGAGAGCTGGATGGATAGGATATTGAACTGTGGGACTCACTGACTTGAACAACAGGAACAAAGAGAAGAAAAGTTTGTCAGACTACAGTCCACTTTCCTACAATACAGCCTACCACTGAGATAAGTCCATAGATCCCACAATAACACCATAAAGACAACCTGGCATTATGCCCACATTGCTTTTTCACAATTTCAAATGGGGGTATTTCAGGGTATTCCGGTATAAGGCGATCAAATATCCCAAAAAAGAGATGAAGGGTATTCAGGCGAAGGTATATTCTTTCAAGGTTCGGTCATTTTTTACAGTCTGACTTGTAACCTGAGTCTCTAAAATGAAGTTGATGTTAAGCGACAACATCTACGACTCGATCGTTAGCTGCAATCAGATGCAGATTTCTGTTTATAGACATTTTCTGAAACGCTGACTCGATCGTTCTAGGATTGCACTTTAGTCAATCAGTTCTGCATCTTGTCCTCACTCTATATGGACTGTTTGCATGCTAAACAAAGCCTGTTTGATGACACTCCTCCAAATATACAACCAGAACACGTCCACCATGGAATTTGCAAGTATCTGTTCAAAGATGTTGTCCTGAGTCACTCAACTGCCCTAATTTGAGATTGTAAACACCATGCTGGAGTTCCTTCAAGTAATGGGTGACATGTAAGACGTCAGTGTGAAGTTAACAAACCGGTCTAACAGCTTCTAAACAAAAATAATGATCCTTTATGGTTTTATATGTTCCTGAACATCGCAGGGAAGTTTGGTTAGCTGATGACTTCTTTTTCTTCGTCTCTGATTTAGCCGCTAACTGCTGGTGAGTAACACTACGCCATGCACCTCTGCTGTCCTTTCCACTCCCACAATTTACACAGATGTCAAAAGGTGGAACAAGATACACCCAACACCTACCTTTTACATAGAATGATTTTTGAACTATTTTTGCCTTTTACAGGCTGTGTGAAAAAAAAAAAGCTTATTTACAAACAACCACCATTTTTGTCAGTCTTGCACACAGCCTTGTGCCTTTCATTCACATCAGGTCTTACTCTAAGCAGCGCCGAGCCGGGGAAACATCCAGAGGTTGTAAAAATAGGAGCCAGGGATATTTCACAGCCGAGTGAACATGCCCAAAGCGTGTTTAGCTCTCTTACACTCCAGTGTGGGGGGGGGGGTGTTATTTGATGGCCAAAACACTCAGCAGAACTCATCATAATTCTGACTGTGGGTGCTTTGGTTCAAATGTGCCAAATATGTGCACGGAGTCACACAAAACACACACATGTGTAAAAACACAAGTCGACATTGCATTGGGGGGCAGGTAGCAGCTCGGGGCTCCCAGTGGTTTGATGAGAGAAATGGATTAAACCCCCTGTGATCAATAGCCTGAGCGAATACACAGATTATCAGATTATCAGATTAGGATCTGTACCCCTGCTGCCGAGGGGAGTCTGAGAATACATTAAAATCGAGGCGCCGGGGCAAGATTCAATTAATCAGGCTACAGGTTGTCTTTTCCCCTCTTACAGTCAATTCCAGACAAGCCTCTGTGTTCTGCTGCGCTCGGTTCACGTCAGAACAAGGGCATATCAGTCTGAAACAAAGTGTTTGGGGAGCACGCTCAGTGATTTACCTGAAGAACAAACGGATGTTACCTGAATATAAATGAATGTGAAATTAAACTGTTAAATCTCTTTGTTTGATACAAAGATAGAGACTGTATCTCTTTGTAACCGGATGAAATAGAGCATTGTGTAGATGCTCAATAGTTAGTTCGTACAATTTTCTTGGGTTTCCCTTCATAAAGTCAACAACTCCAATCGTCAATTGAGAAGATCCCAAGTCTAATTGCATGTTTGTTTTCTTTTCTCCATTGTACATAAATGTGCAGAGGAACCAGTCTGTAAATGTCTTAAAATGAAGCTCGGGTCTCTAATGCTGAGGATTTGATTGACAGACGAATGTTCAAAATAGGGTTGAACCCCTCTGAAACAAACAGTCCAAAAAAGCTGAAACTGAAAAAGTCAATATTTCTTTAAGAAGACATTGTTTGGTCCACACTCTTCTTTTAAAAGAAGTCATGAGGGGAATAAAGTCAGCTGCTGCCATCTAAAGTGTATGGGATAAGGGTTAGGATTCATTATTCCCTTAGTTTTATCTGATTCGTCTCTTATCTCCTTTCCAAACAAAACTGAATACAGCTGTTTCAGGTTGAAAAAAAAAAGCTTTATATGATTTACTTTGAAAGTCTTGACTGGAGGCATGCACAAGCAAGCCGTGCTGGCACTGACTCTAACTTTCTTGGTGACTAAAGTACTTCATCCTGTTACATAATAACACGATGGTGACCTCATCGGAAACACGAAAAAAGTAACAACCTGGAGAAGTTTTAATTTCCCACTGAGCCTTTTCTACAAGATTGGTGTGGTGCCGAGCTGCAATTTTGTCATTTCTTATTCTGTCTGTTTTGTACTGAATATTCTGAGATTCATAAAGGATCATACAGCTTTTGCTAACATGTAAGCTGTGCAAGTGGGACAAAAATACACTGTGTAATTCACAAAGCACACACACAAAGGGTTAAATGCAGCCCTGAGTGCGCTGCAGAGCGAACAGAGACTCTGTGCACTGTTGCTGTTTGTGCATATTTTAAATGATCCATTGTGCAGTATTGGCCTCTTCCTATGCAAATCGGCCTCATTGGTTAAAGTGTCTAATTCACATACACATTGCTAACAACCATGGGCAGTTAGAGTGAAAAAAAAGTGAAAAACATGATCTGCATGTTTGTGTACAGGAAACCATGGCAACTGAAACTGAGTGTATTATGATGGAGTTGCAGCTGATAAATAATGAGCCCTAGTTGATTACACAGGCTTGTAGTGTTATTCCTTCTGCAGAATTTTGCAAACGGCAACGATGCTACCCAGCAGTCCAATCACAGGGCTTCCAATTTTTTTAATGGGTGCACGTCCTGCTACGTAAGCTGGCTTCCCTGTAGGTAAAAAACCGACATGAACATACAACATAGATTCACAGCAGAAGTAGCAGAAGTATAAATCAGGCTTAAAGGTGCAGGTAGCTTCTCCCCACATTCAGACCTAAAACAAAAGCACACTACAGAGAGCAGGACACCTTTTTGGATATTTTTGTTCCTTAATATCATTCTGGCTATATTCTTTGGGAATTAGAACTTCAGAACGAGCAACTAGCGGGAGCATATAATGTGTAATTACTGGAGCCATTAGTGGCCACAATCCATTCTCAGTGAATCAGGCCCTGAGTCTGGTACAGCTCTATAATATTCTTAGAAACAGAAAGCATGCTTTACTTCAAGTAAGGGTCCATGTCCGTGTTCCATTGGCGTTTTGAACACTGTATTCTTTTTGGTTGTTGTTTAAATAACGTCAGCACCTTCAAACAGACGCCTGTATGCAAATGAGCGTTAGCATTTATTCCCAGGTGAAGCTAAAGTCTAATGGCTGCCATCTTGTCTCTCCTCTGCAGTGTGTACGGCTGCCCTCTGGCCAAGAAGAGAAAAAGTCTTGAAAGACAAACCCTAGAAACTTCACCCAAGAGGAGCACCTACCTAGATGACATGGACAACTCCACCATGGAGGAGTGCTACGAGACAGACGGAACTGAGGAGATGGACGACAGGGAAGAAGAGGAGGAGGAAGGAGCAGTAGAAGAGGAGGAGGAGGAGGGAGAAGTGGAGGAGGAGGAGGAAGAAGAAGAGGAGGTTGAAGGTTATATGGACTACAATGAAGAGCAAATTGAGCATGAAGAAGGGGAGGTGGAAAGAGGGGACAGAGAGGACGAGGAAGAGGAGGAAGAAGAAGAGGTAGAAGTGGAGCAAGAAGAGGAGGAGGAGGGCGAGGAGGAGAGGGTGGAAGAAGCAGAGGACGAGGAGGATGCCGTGGAGGAGGTAGACTATGAAGATGGAGAGGATGACGAAGGAGAGCTGGGTCAAGGGCAAGGTGAGAGTCCTCTTCATCATTTTGTTTTTAAGATAAATCTACTAAACATACTTGTTTACAAAAAGTTCATATCAAATTTAGGAGAAATGCATATATGCCTTCTAGCTGAAACTGAGATATTAGCACTGTCATTTGGGTGTTGACAAGTTTTCGGCTAAACCTTGAAGCTGTTTAGCTTAGCTCAAAGACTGGAGAGTAGAAGGCTGACTTGGTTGTGTCTAAAGGTTGACAAATTAACCGACTACTGACTGTATTGGCCTGAATATAAGACGATCCCGGCGATAAGATCCCCCCATTTTTAAGTCAAATTATTAAAAAAATATATATTTTATTGCGGATGAAATGGTGTGTTGTTTTATAAGGTTAGTCGTTTTTTTTTTAATCTTAAAGATTAGGGGGTGGGGGTAGGGGCTTGTAGCTTTTATATTTAATTTAGATAAGAGACAAGAATGAGTCTTCCAATGTAATTCTCCCCTAAAAATGAAATAGATATTTATGAAGTACAGTTGGTGGTGACGTTCAGGACATGACGATGTTTTGCTGCTACTCTTATATGATGGCTAAAACCACTACAGTCCTCCTCTGCGTTTATCCTACTTAATTGCTTTAAAGTTCTGTGCACAAAATCTTTGTCAGAAAATTAAATCATATAAGACACTTAAATAATTCTACGTTCTCCAACCCGGGGCCATGATTATTATTCCAACCTGCAGAAAGACTATTGAGAAACTCATTTTAAATAATAAAATTATCTTCATTTGTACCTCCACTCTAAAGGAATAATAGAGCGGTAAACAGCTAAAGAACGACTCTATTTTTTATTTTCCTGCATTTTATGCTAAAATGTAAACCAGTTTTTGGATATATCATTTAAGAGGAACTTCTGCACCAAACATACCACCCCGACCTTCGACATGCCCAAAACCAGATTTGGCAGGTTTTTCTCCACCACCCCTGCATCACAATTGGACCTGACAGTCCCTTCAAGTCCAATTAAGAGTGAGGCTGTGAGTGAGGAGTGTGTTAACCCTGTTTGGCGCGTAGCTCTACCCTCCTACAGTGTTGATGTGGCATCTCAGCTGCCATGCTTCCTATATTCTTCTAAGATGTGAAAACGTCGCTACAGACAAGAGGTGTTGGTTAGAGCCCACAGCCGAGGCCTGACCCTTACCACTGACACACCTTCTCTTGAGCCTGTCATCCTCCTCTCTTTCTATTCCTATCAGTCATTGTATATATTGTTATTGTATTTGGTTTCATTGAGTGCTTTTGGTTTGGTTGGCTTTTATTGGTTTGTCTGTTGTTTTCAGTGTTTTTTCTAAAAAAAAAAAAAAAGGAAAGAAAAACTGGATCATACTGATGAAGATGTTTTCCCAATTTGCTAATATCTTGTCTTTTTGCCTTTTTTGCAATTTTCTCAAACTCTAAGTCTTGACCTCCCACGGGACACCTTACCGTTATGAGCAGCATTTAAATCTGCAGGATTTTTGGGAGAAAGGCAGAAAAATCTTTCCATATGGATCATTATCAGGCTTCGTATTTGCCCCAAGACAGCAATACTGCGTGGTCACTTGGCAGATTCCAATCTCCTCCATGTAATAGAGGTGACATTTGGGAGCTTCTCTGTGTTTCCCAGTGGCATGCACATCTCTATAGCTAATCCAAAGCCAATTCAGGGCAGCGCCAGTCCCTCTGTTCCCGCCTTAATCTGTTTCGCTTCCGTATCCCTTTTGTGTACCTTGATTGCTCTTCAAATTGCTTCCTTGTGCCACGTTTCATACCATCAAAAATTAAACCCCTGGTGCAGGAGGTTTCTGTAAGAAGCCTTCCTCTGTCAAAATATGTGCCTGGTCATTCGTGACTGTTTCACCCCCCCCAGCACCGATATAGCATTGCTCTCATTAGCTTTGAGTGTGTGTAGCTTAGTGTCAGTGTGAGGGGTTTTCTAAGAAGGATGTTTGAATAAATTCAGATTTTTTTTTTTTATTTCATATTCCTGTGCTTTTGTGTATTTAATATTTTACTTTTAAAACAGTCAGGTTCACCTCGATATGTTTATTGTGATTAAATCACTGAATCTGGTTTTAATTCAAATATAAACACCAATAACTATGGCAGGTTTTTAAATATTATTATGTCTTGTGATTTGCTAATTTCTCACCAGAATTCAAACTTGCTATTATTATTATTTCTGTGTGTGTGTGAGAGTGTGCATGGTGAGGGGGGTGGGGGGTTGGGGAGCTCTGGGTTAATTTTCTCTGCAGGAATGTAAGTGGCAAATGTGACGCCAACGTGAGCAATGTGCTCTTGGCGGCTCAGGGCGGAAATGTGAAAGGAGAGATTGGAAGTGCTCCAGGAGTGAGTGCTTGAAATTACTGACAGAAGAGGTTCAGTAACCTTTTGCAGCCTGTCAGAATCAATTAGGCAGTGAAAGGAATTCTAAAGATACTGATGATTGAATGAAAAATGAACTTTACTAGCAAAGGATGAATAGCTACTGACTGAGGTTCATCGTGTCGCGGATTGAACACCAAATTATCTCTCAGATTTTAGACTCTTCTCTGTAATTCAAAAAAATTCTCTGTTTTGATTTGCTCTGTGGAACAATGAATGAAATATTATCTCATTTGCAGCTATTTACAGAATTCTTTAGTAATACTATTAGTCATAAGCCCTGTGAGTATCATTTTTAAACACATCCAGGAAATAAGGGGAAAAATAAGGCTCGTCTGAGATAGAGTCCCTTGTTTATCAAAGCGTCTTTCTCTGGAACTTTCCCCAACCACTATATTTAACTTCCTGTGCTGATTCACAATTCAAAACACAAGCTGCTGTTAAGACTCTCAAAGTAAATTATTAGGGGAAGCAAAGAGTTCCTTATCCAATTTAGAGGGACCAAGCCCAGAAATTTGATTTAGCAGTAAAATAGAACGAGGCAAATGAAATTACAAGACGTTTGTTCTTTCTTTCAAACAGAGGACGATCAGATGAGCAGCGGCGAGGGGGCTCAGGGTGACGGCAGAGGTGGCGGTGGCGGTGGCAATCCCAAATCCGGCCCGGCGATGGAGAAGGACGACAACAACAACAACAACAACGAAGAGTACGAAAACTACGACGAGCTCGTGGCCAAGTCCCTCCTCAACCTGGGCAAGATCGCAGAGGACGCCGCCAACCGAGCCATGACGGAGTCCGAAATGAACAGCAACTCCTCGAACAGCGCAGAGGAAGAAGAAGATGATGAGGAGGAAGAGGAGGAGGAGGACGAGGAGGAGGAAGAGGAGGAGGAGGAGGAAGAAGAAGAGGAGGAGGATGAGGAGGAAGACGATGAGGGGGAGGGGGTTGAACCACAGAGGGGAGAACTGAGTTTGGACGTTGACAGTGATGTAGTCCGGGAGACGGTGGACTCTCTAAAGCTGTTGGCACAAGGTCACGGCGCCGTACTGTCTGACACTTTAGATGGACAGGAATTTGAAGATGGATCAGCCGAGAATGGCGGCCAGAACGACTGCCGTCACAATGGGGGAAATGCACACAACAGTGGTAATGGACAAGGTAAGACCAACGGTAACGGACAAATAGAAAACAGCGATGAGGAAGTGTGTTTAAGCAGTCTGGAGTGCCTACGGAACCAATGCTTTGACCTGGCGCGGAAACTAAGCGAGACAAAGTCCTCCGACCGCAACGGACCGTCCCAGCTGAACCATTTTTCATGCGGCGATCCCAATCAACAGGCGCAGCATCACAGCTACGCCGACTTCCACCACAGCCAAGAGGAGAGGCGGTTACTTGACAGGAACTATTCCGACATGGACAATCTCCTGAAGCTGGAGGAGCAGCTGAGCCCGCGCTCCAAGGCCTTCTCGAGTTGCGCGCAGGACGACCGATATCACACGAACCACCGGGACTACGACGAGGACACGGCCTCTGTGACGTCGGATCGGTCGGAGGAGGTGTTTGACATGACAAAGGGGAACCTGTCCCTGCTGGAGAAGGCCATTGCACTAGAGTCAGAACGCGCCAAGGCAATGCGGGATAAAATGGCGGCCGATGCTGCCAGGAGAGACGGTGTGAGGTATAACCATGACGACCATGGCCATCGGCATGGATACGGTATGGAACGTAAAGCCCGGCTTCCTGATGGTATGAAGAAACCTTTCTACCATAAAGGTGAGTGATTATCTCTGACACGCTCAGATGCACACCAAGCCTTCATATCTGCACGAGTGTAGACATGTTTACCTCATTTAACAAGCTCAGGTATAATGTTTGTCTGCCTCTGTCGGGCTCTGTATTCTATCTGTCCTGTACTGGAGACTAGACAGCCTACATGCATTCTGGAAACCTCAGGACAAGCTTTTTTAGCCAATTTGGAAATTCGCATCTCGGGTAGCAGCGGGAGCGGCAGCAGCAGCTTATGTTGTTAAAATAGGCCAGCATGGAAACATCAGAGGGTAGGCTTGTCAGGCATAAGTAATGGCAATCTGCACGGCCTGTTAGGGCCGCAAATCTCATCCCTGCGATGCAGCTTGGGGTAAAGCTGCCTATTTTTAACCCTGCGCAAGCACTACGGAGAGGAAGCTACAAAACAGTGGCCTCCTGCATTCAGAGAGGATTGATTCTGCAGAAAATACACATATAATGCTAATCATATAGTACAGAGACTGGACTATTCCATCAGTGGTGAATGTTATACACTGTCCTAGAAGTGCTGGATGCTCTCTTGTTTAGCTCATTCTTGCTCCTCTAATTAAATATTTTACTGCCACTGTATTCAGACATGGTTAGGTTAAATGATTTCCTCCCATACAGAAGATTCCAGATGAGACCAACAAATAAGAGCATGCTATTTCACAGCAGGGGTGATATCACACCTTAAATGCCACACAACTCACAGTCGGTATATATTGCCACTTAAATGCCACACAAATGTTAATTTCAAGAGCCTTCCATGGCCCCTGCGTCTGGCTAATGTTGGAATAATGAGAGGATACGAGACAGCTGCATCACGATAACATCTTTCCCCGGGCAAGATAGTAGCAGACACTCGTTGACCAGGGTTCCTGTGTGATTCATAACACAGAGCATGGTGAGGGAGGGGGAGTGGGTGATGGAAGATGGGGGGGGGTTCAGAGGAGAGGCCAGCTCCATAAGAGAAGCATGAGGCCGAGATGAAAATTGAACAGTATCAGAATGACCGATAACGAACGACAGGCCTACTGACTGCACATTAATTATCCAGAGATGGTATGGTAATGGGGGCCATTTGCTATGCAAAGCACAGACCGTCCCCAGCCACAATCAATATCCCCTGCTTTCTAATATGCCTTCCACTTGGCTGCCTCCACTCCCTACAATGGAAGTGAGGCAGGCAAAGCCCATGCATCATGTATGTGTGTGTGCAAACGGAGAAATGATTTCCAACGTACTGTTCAAACACTGTCGATGTAATAATGTCCCCCAAAAGAAGCTGTTATTAAGAAGCCACATCATGCATGCAGACCAAGTTCTTTATCAACACAGAATTTCTCCCGTGCCAGACGTGACTCTGCAATATTGTTCCAAACTGATATGACAGTAACCTGACAAAGATAAACGAGCGCCACCAAGGATAATGACGTCCACCTTCTTCAGATGAATGTGACATGAAATCTCATTTGGTGACTCATTTGTAAATGTATGAATATGTGTGCTTCTCAACCCTGCTGCCCCCTTCACTTGATTATAATTCTCATCCGCTTCACCCAACAAGCCCTGATTTGATTCAGTCTTTCTTTCATTGATTTCTTTAAATGAATTTATTTATTAATTCAATTAACACACAGGAAGTACATAAAGAACAGAAGAGTGTGAGTGGATGTGGATGTGGTAAAGTCTGTGAAGAGCTTATATGAAACCACTCCTGGAAGACATGTACAAGGTTATATATAAGTATATCAAACCAATAATTCTCACGTAATGTCAGACTTTACATATGAGATACAAAAATGTAGTTTTAACAAAAACAAGCAAAAGACTAAAAACATATAACAATTAATAATTAAAAAAATGTTTCAGCATATAGGTTTATATTTTGTGTATCTTTTCTTTTACAGACAGAATGAAAGAATCCTTTTTAGGTTCTTTTTTAATTTCAATGTGTAACATCTGAAATTGCATTCCACCGAATAAGTTTTGCTGCTGGTGAGCTTCGGTTTGTAACCCCATTCCTCCTCATAGGAAAAAAAACAACAACTTGATCACAAAAAGTAAAGTTTCAGTTTATTGTTTTGTCATCAAAGAGTTTGTCAGTCATTTTTGTACATAATGACAAAGAGGGACTCATCACATTTTTTATAATGAAATTGTGATGTTTTTTATTTTTTATTTTACAAAATAACGCCTGAAACACAATCACAATTTTTGGGACAAATGTGCAGATTTTTGGTTGGTCAGTAATTTGTAACATAAAGCGACTAACACCTGCCTCAAACAAAATAACTTTTCCAGTGAGTTCATGCTCGCAGACATTGTTTGCTTTGTTTAACTCAAATCAAGGGGTTCTGCTGGAGTTACAGTAAGTGCACTGGTTTGATATAAGATGGTCATAAAACTTAGTCTGAGATGTTTGAAGCCAGATTTTTTGTATTTTTGGTCTTATACTCTAAATTTCTTTTAATCATGTTTAGTGTTTATTTTAGTTTTTATTCCTGAATCATGATCATTGACATGGTCTTAACTGCTGGTTGGGAACGGTTGGAGATGCATGTGCCTTTAGGACACATTTGCACAGTGGTGATTTTCATGTAGGGAAAAATAAAAGCCTCACAAGTGGCCTGCAAGATTGCAATACCAGACAAGCCACCGTAACAGACAAAAATCAGCTCATATAAGACAGACCAGTGCACACAAATGGACAGCTGTGGCAAAAAAGCTGCTTCTGTTTCTGCTTATTCGTCGTAAATTTCAATAAGGAGCAGAATGGGAAATAATCTCATTTTATAGAGTGACACTGCAAGCTCCCCAGACTTTGCAAAGTGTCAGACATCAGTCATTTACAAACTTCTAGTGTTTGGGAGGAGTAACTTACACACACCTGTAAAACTTTCATCAGTGTTGTGTCTTTCTGTTGCAGGAGATAAAGGCCTCTCGCTGTCTCCTCTGCTAATACTTTGTCTGGATAAAGTTTTCTGTCACTCAAACGTATTTTACAAACAGATACAAAGCTATCGTCTTGTAAACAGGCTTTTGAAACGATATCAAATATATTATTCCTTCTCAACATTTAAACTGCATCCTTCTGAATCCAACTTGTGTCGACAGTAAGAAGAATCATCGGCCTTGTTTGGAGGTCAGCGTGTTTTTACAGACGGACGGTTACATCAGGAGAAACGATGCCAGTTGGCACAGCTTGGTATCTGTGCTTTTTGGTTGTAACGTTATCTGATTTGGGTTGGGGAGAAATAGAAGAGCCGGGTTTTTAGAAGGGAAAGACAATCTCATCTGCTGTGTGTGTTCATTGAAGTGTGTGTAAACTTTTCCGACCCCTCATTGTCACGCTGAACTCTGCGGAACATCGTTAAGGCCCGAGTGTTTGAATGAAAAGAAGTTTGATAAATTCTGACACGATGAAGAGATTCCATGAAGCTCGCTAAAATGAGAGTTTCATTAGTGCAAACAAACTTCATAATCAAGAGATTTGCTATTAAGTCGTTTATTGCATCTTTCTCCGCGTCAGTCTTCACATCATGACTTAGACAGGAAGTAGTTAATAAAGGCTTTTTTTCATCTAAAATATAAAATAAGACATTTAAACGCACAGTATGTACATTTTGCAGCCAGGGGGCTCTCAATCAAAGGAAGGCAATAACAAAAGATGACATCGAGGCTGGTGGGAAGTGGGGAGTAATTCCCTCTGATACTCCCCCCTAACCCCCAATGAAAAAACTCTGCGTTGACCGTAGTCAAGACGACCGAGTGAAACAGGCCTGAGGAAGAGAATATGTTCACTGACGATGTATCCAAGTATAATTTACATGACGTTTTAATCACATACAGCAACAGTACAGCAGCATTCAGCAGCAGCTCCCACTTCCTTATGCAGCGTAACATCCGGTGTTTCCATGGCAACGATAAACATGTTGTGTCTGACATGCTGGCTCTGTCTTGGCAGCCGCCACGACAAGACACATTCTGTTTCAATTGTTAAATGAAAATTTATCTGGCTTTGATAACTGTTGTAAATATTTGAGGTAATGTAAGAACTCAACAGTTACTGTTATATCATTAGGGATGCAGGTCACTATGAGAGCATCATTTACAACATTAACACCATGGTGCTTTGGAGAAGACTTACGATTTCACACTGAGTCATTAAACCTATCCAAAGATGTTGACTAAGATATTATATCAAGTGAGAAATTAGATCATTTTTCCTTTCTGGTTACATACAAGTAGACTTGTTTTTTTTTCAACCAATGGAATTGCCCCCTGCTGGCCACTAGAAACAATGCATGTTTAAGGCAACTTCAATTGTCTTCACTTTCATTCATCCATTCAAGGCTAGGTCCACTTATCGAATACAGTTTTAGCTTTGAGAATATGTGTCTGGAATCCCCACATATCCTAACGCGTCAGTCAAACTTAATATAAATTATTTTATTGCAGATGCTTCACGAGCAGACAAGAAGGAAAGTCGATGTCCGACGCCAGGTTGTGATGGCACGGGACACGTGACGGGCCTGTACCCCCACCATCGGAGCCTCTCTGGCTGTCCACACAAAGACAGGGTGCCACCAGAAAGTAAGCACCTCACAGTCACACTAGAGACGAACGCTGGTTTGACTGTAAAACCTGTGGCCTTCATGTTCTTTGATGTTTTAGGAATCGGCATGTTCCTCTGTGATGTGCGCTGTCTTTGAGTTGTCGTTTTTTGCACTGTGGTTGACCTTTTTGCACGGGGCCATTCTCGTACTTAATGATTGCCTGCTTCGTGTGCCGTGGTGAAGGGGTGGGAAGTGAGGCCTTGGATGATTGGTCAGATGGTCAAGAGCTGTCAATCAGGGATTTAAATGACTGCATGAGACTTCTCCACTCCTTAGAGATTGAAAGTATTTGATAATCCCATCCACTGCTTCATGTTTCATAATTTCAGGTGTTACAATCCTCTTCCTAGCATGTGTTATTACTGCATGTCATGTTAAAGGAAAGGGTTAAACATGCTGTTGTGTTTCATTAATTGATGTAACATTTTAATGTTGACTGACTCATTTCATTTTCAAACTTCAAAATGCTCACAGATGTCGATACTCTGCGTCTCCTTCAGTCTTCCATGCCATGAACCCCATTCAAGTATTCGTATTCCTTGCTCAATTAGGTTCTTTTGAATAGGGAGGCAGTGTCATATCTCTAAGCCATGGATCAAGTGAAGTGGCAATAAACATTAGCCTTGAATGAATATTGTGGTTTCCCTTTAGAGATCTCAGCCTGCCTATTTAGTCTCATTCACCTTGTGCAAACTTCTCAGTAAAAGCCCCTTTTACACGTTTCATTAACCACAGCGTGAAAATCAAGTTATGATCTGCCATGACCCAGACTGCAATCAAAATAAAAGAGGGTCTTTATCATGACAAAGGAATTAGTTACCATTAAAAACCGAGCTTGTAAAGACGAGCAGTGTCACAGACGGCTCTTGTTCCGTGGAGCACTGCTCACACAAAAAGGTTGCTAAACTGAGATGCACTCCCTGTCTCCCATAAATGTGAAATAACTGCGATCAGTTGACCTTGACTGGGATCAAGATCCCCAAAATGGAATTTGGACTGGGCCTGAATTGATTGTTACTGGAGATTTTGGAATATGATGTCAGCGTTCGTCCTCCTGTTCCTCTCCTGTGTTGATGGGCTGGCTTTTTTGGGGGGAGATGATACCCCTGGTACAGCACAGGATGCTTTGGGTCACAAAAAGTTCTCTTCTTGATGTCTTTGGTATCATCTTCAGTTCTTCTTCTCTGACTTCAATAGGATACTTTAGAGTGAGAGCACACTGATAAAAGGTAACCTCCTTTAGGTGCTTTATGTTATCAGTCACAGCCATGTGGACGTATCCTCAAATAACAGTTAATGTAATACCCTGTGATTAGTTTTTGACATTTTTTGTCTGGTTAATTATTTGAATGGCAAACGTGTTTTAAACCCTACAATGATTTGTGTCAACAGTTTATTGCATGCACCACTTTGGTGTCGTATTCAGACTCACGAAGTAGCTTCTTTTCATGGAGCCTTTTAGAATAGCTTACAGGTCTTTTATTCTTTCTTAACATGTGGAAACAAAGAGCAATTTGTTGAGGTGAGGTTTGAAGCGTCTCACATACTGTACAGTGAGAAAGCCAAAGATAACAGATGAAGCACAAAAACGGTCAAAGTTATGTCTGAGTTCAACGATTTGATAGGATTGTGTTGTTATCGCTTGTGATTTATCCCTCTGCTAATGAAACGAAAGCACAGCACTATGCAAAAAAAGAGCAAGGCATTTAGCAGACAGAGGATGGGACATCTTCAGGATAACTAAAACTATCTGATTTTACCCGTCGTGCATAGCTTCTGGAAGGGAATTGATCTAAGCTACGAAAAGCACTTGGTAAATATTGAGAAACACAAAGTGGTGTGGATTAAAATAAGGTTTGTGCCTTACTTGCCGACTACACAATGAAAGTCTTCACCCTCTACCAGAATTACTAGTAGGTTAAAACATTTTTTCTTTTTGTGGCCCCCGATACCAGTCAATTGTTGTGTCTAAGCTGTAATGCAGCCACCAGCCACTTGACGGGGATGTAGCTCCAGTTAATGGGTCTTCTTTCCCCGCACTACTGCCTGCATGTAAACCAGCACACGGATGGATGGCACAGCAGTTTGGCTATATTTTGATTTTGCAAAATGTATGTCGGCTGTGTCAGATTAAACCGGCTTGTTGACCAGAGCAATGCGAAAACGCGAGAACAAATTCGGCCCAGGCATGTGGACTTTAACCTGCAAGGATGAATGAAGGCTGGTACTAGCTATGCTAACCTTAGCCACACTCTGCAGTCCAATTTGACATTGTTTACCTGCAGACACTGTGATCCCACTCAGTCGGAAAAGATAACGTAGCTCATCACGACAATGACTGCATAGTAAATACTACTCAATTTCGACCGCTTCCTGAGAGTTTTCTCACTTTTAGACGAGTCGACTAGCCTGAATTTAAATGTTCGTTTAATCAACTTGGAAATGAGTTGCCTGAGAACATCCCTAATTAAAGTCATGACTAAAAGTCAACTTTTTGTTTCACAGAAGATTTAAATCCCCAGTTCTTTATTGTTGGAGCCACCAAAGGCCCCCGACAACCACCCCAACCAGATTTTACCGTCGTGAGTTTGTTTAAAAATCTGCAGCATCTGTTGCAGACGCTAAAGGCATCAAAAGAACTCCATATTGACTCATGATTTAGTGAGTTTCTGGGAGAGTTATATGAGGGAGATATTGGTATAAGTGTAAACTGTAGAAGCGAGCAGGCTTCACCAGGTTTCCGTCTGTTTGTGGTCAGTAGTATCAGTGGGGAGTTGGGGGAGGGGGGGGGCATGGATGGGGGTGTACCGCAGTATTTTGCAGCTTGACCCCTTGCTTCAACACTTCAAAGGTAGAGATGAGAACATGTCGCGTGTAGCCACCTGTGGGGAAGTTTCAGCTACGGGCAAGTCTCTCTCTCCCCTATTAACACATTTGCTGAACTGAATGGACAATGTATTATTAATGCAGTGGCTTCACTTAATTGGGAAATCACACAGCGAAACCAGACTGCTCCTTGGGAAATGTGAAAAATGACAATTAAATTATATCTCAAATTCATTAATTCCCATTCGTGTTTGCTCATTTCTGTAGAATGCTAAAATATTTAATCAGCTCACATGGGAGTCTTTGTTATGGTCTTTAACGATAGTATCCTGTTGTAGCATTGAATGCATTTAAAGTGTCCTGTTTGCCCTCCTCCCCCCATTCATCGAATGCCTATAGCTCTATGGTGATGTCTTTGCACAGTGAATCAGGAACCTGTGCTCTAATTTCTCTCCATTTCTATCCGTGTCTTTGCAGAGGGCAGGACAAATCTGGGATATGCATTATGTATTGGCTTGTGGCACGTTAAGGTGGCAGGCTTTGTCCAATTACCTGCACCGAACACCAATTAGTATGTAAGGGAAGGAGGATGATGAGGGGTTAAAGTTTAAGGGGGTGATAATGATGAAGCTGGTGCCGATGGGGTTTGGCCCCGCGTGCGAGACGACCCTTCCCCGCGCCCCTGCCTGCAGTGCTCTGACGGCTCCTCTTGGACATCCATAGATCATTAATCTAATTGGCTGGTTGCCGAGGGGATCCGAGACAGTTATGGACTGTTTTAATGGTAAATGGTATTGAAGACTGCGCTCTCTACCCTAACAACGTGCTGCTGATAACAACGCACACTCTATCAAGGCGCCGTATTCTGTCCGTCTGCTTCCTCCATTGATTTCAAGGCTTGTGTTTTGCATGATTGCCGGCTGTTGGTTTGCTCTGCATGCCCAAAAATATCCACCCATTTCTGTCTCTTGCTGGCTTCGTCCTGTTAAACTTAAATGACATCTTTTTATTCATGACTGTCCTCTATTCCATGAATACTAATTTGAAAGGGCCAGATAAGTGGAAGCAATATGGTGGGAAACCTCGGCTGCCCTCTCAAACTAGTGTTCATTAAAATGAAGAAGAGGTCATTTGGGTTCACACAGGCTCATTTCTTAATGATGTTTATAATGCCAAGCTCCTCACACACTAATAGAGCTCACGCGTTGACTCTAAGGGGCTCCTAACCTTCCCTGTCTTTCACTCCTTTCTCCTGTCTGAACGAAGTTGTGGCAATGTATGAGAATGTTCTTAAGTGTCCTACGGTTGGCTGCACGGGACGCGGCCATGTCAATAGCAACAGAAACTCCCACAGAAGGTAAGTGACAGACTGCCCTCACCAAACTGGCACTGTCCGTGTTGCGTCCTCCGTTTTTTTACTTTGGGGATTTTTTTCATTGAGGTATTTTTCTGATTAAGTTTTCATTCAAGTTGTATTTTTTCAGTTATTATAAACCCCATAATTTTCTGTTTGTGTGTGTGTGTGTGTGTGTGTGTGTGTGTGATGAGTCATGTTACGCTTGCAACATTAAATGCTAAAATACTAAGATTAGTTAACCCACAACAGATTAAGACTCAGAAAGAGGGTTTTTAAAATAAGCTAATAGTGGATATTCAACAAAACTAAGTGGGGACAGAAAGAAGGTCTTGTACCTGCTCTTTTAGAGAGATGACATTTGTTATGAATCGGCTCTATACAAATCAAGATTGATTGATTAATTGAAATAAAAGCCAAAGACAGAAAGGTAAATTAATGTAATTAATAAATGTTAATGGTGAAACAGGACTACAGAGCTTAATGTGTTGTGGAACTTCTTATTTTTTTTAATTAAGGCTGTAAAAACATCACTATAATTTAAATACCGTTTCTGTATTTTGGTAGTAAAGGCTGATTTATTCTCCTGTATTCTGCTACACTATGCGTAGTCTCCCCAGAAATCTAACTCCAGCTTGTATGTTTTGGATTGTATCAAGTGTGGTTGGTTCACTCTGCAGCTCTGCACCAAAAACCACTCAGGACACTGTGTTTGATGCTAGCTGCTAGCCCCAGTAGCTTCCATGTGAAGCTTTAAAATGATTAGAAATTGCCAGTTTCTTTTTACCTATGCTTTACATTTAATAGCTTCAACCCCAACATGATTGGCTCAGCTTATTTGTCATTATTTGAAATACTAGAAGGAGCCAGAAAGGCTTATCACAGTGGCTAAAAGTGATCCCAAAGTGTCAGCTGTGTCATGGCAGAGTGACACAAACACACCATTGTTATGGTATAAATTATCAAAACTTCACTGGCCCCTTATGTAGGCCGTCATATAGCTTCTATGTGTTGCCTTCTCCTTGTCCAAATAAAAGTCACAGCTGCTTTGAGATAGATATTATTAAAATGTTGTAGAAGGAAACAGTTAAAGTAGTTCAGCTTCCTAACAATCTGCACAGTTTGACTCAGACTGATTAAAATGCAGCGATTCACACCTTCTACATAAATCATTTATCAGCTCATGGCGAAAAATGGCATCCATCAGGTGCAGGTTTGGAGGGGAGCACTGAAATAGCATGGCGCTCTTGCGGGTACTGTCAGACGGGGCGAGGTGACAGTGAAAGAGGAGTGTCACCCCCAGCAGATGCTCGGGGAGTTGGGCATAGCAGCAGCCATTAGCACCTTTCTGCCACTCAGCCAGGGTGACAGGAGAGGTGCAGACCTGGGAGGAGCAGAATGGCTCCCTGCTGTGCTCAGTGACATGACACGGCTGCAGCGCAAAATAGGCACACATATGGACACGCACAGTAAACTTTCACTTTTACAAGAAGGAGATGGTATAAACTAGCACGCACTCTTTCCCCTGCCCGCATCCATGCACGTCTGATGACAGGTGCGCACGCACACAACTCCATACTGGCTTGAGGCCACTGTCAGAGGTGATTCTTTCACCGCTGCTATGCACACTACAGTTGACAGACTGGATGGAGAATAATAGGGGTTAAGGATAACACCATGAACTTTTGTCACATCTGGTCAGTAAGTTGTCAGGAAGAAGTTTTACAGCCTTAATTCTGTATGAACACACTGTAAGTTTAGATCCCAAATGCATCATGTCAGCAAGGAAACAAAATGCTGCAAAATGCACATTAAAATGCACATTTGTCCATATGGGAATATCTATTCTGAGAATTATTTCAAGCTGCTCAACCAGAAACATTCAAGCTGTTGCCAATTTTGTTGTTATGAAGGTGTTAAAAAGGATGAAAATGAATGATTTTGCATTTTAAACAGAGACTTCCTGAACTGTAGTCAGGTTTTTTTTTCCAAACTGGTAGACATCGGGGTTGTTTGGCTGACAGACAGCTGTTTTTATAAAAGTACAAGCCACACACTTTCCAGCATTTCCATTCAATGAAACATTTTCACATTTTCAAAATGTGTCACATTACACTATGCCACTCAAGTCCCTTTCTGCTTTCAGTCTGTCAGGTTGTCCCATCGCAGCAGCCGAGAAGCTGGCCAAAGCCCAGGAGAAGCACCAGGGCTGTGACGGCCCCAAATCCAACCAGGCGTCTGACCGAGTCTTAAGGTAAGAATGACTCTTCACTTTGAGAATTCTGTGTTGAAGGTTGCCAAACTCTAGGAGGTGCATATGACAAAGATTCCTGTTTAACATTGAGAAGTACGACGTTTGATTTCAGACATTTCCAGCTCTGAATGAATGTAGAAAAAAAGAGGAGCTAAAGTGGAAGTATATTTTGTGTTGTCAGACTATGAACCCTATTCTGTTTTCTAAATTTGTATTTATAAAATGTAATTGATTAAAAAGGCAGGCTGATGAATTTCATATCATGTAAAATAACTGAACCATAATCTTCAAAGATTTATTTGTTTTGCCGTGTAGTTGACCAAAAACAGGATCTTTTTTATTTTTTTATTTTTGCATTGTAGGCTACCTTTAGCTTCCCGTCCATTGTTGTTTCCATGGAAACATTGAATTTCTCTTCTCTTTCATAAATCAACTAATATAAAGGAGGTTCAATGAAATAGTAATTTTTATTCAATATGTTTAAGTAAATAAACATATTAAATCTGTTACATCTGTTCATTGGACATAGAAGCCCACTTTGTCAAAATGTAAAAAAACATGTTAACATTAAGTATCTTAAATATTTCATTTGATTAATAACAATTTGAGAAAAGACTATTTGAGTCTTGGGGCGGCAGTAGCTCAGTCTGTAGTGTCTCCGGTTCAGGTCCCAGTGTGGACCAAAATATGGAAGTTGGTCTGGCTGCTGGAGAGGTGCCAGGTCACTTCCCGAGGACTAGATGAGTGCCCTTGAGCAAGGCATGGAACCCCAAACAGCTCTGGTTTTGTCCCTGTGTGGCAGCCCCACTCTGACATCTCTCCATTAATGCAGGTCCACAGGTCCTGTTTGTGCATGTGTGTGTGTCGGGCCTATGTGTGTGTGAAGCACGTCTCTCAACAACAGAGTGTAAACCAGAATTTCCCTCAGGGATTAATAACGTATGTAAAAGACTATGTCCCTTCAGGTTTACTGTCTGTGACATCACACTAACCAAGGATGTAGAAATCTGTTATCTGGTCATATTGGAACATTTTGTTGTTTTTTCGTCCTCCATTTTTTTAACCTTTTGAGACGTTCAAAATCCCCTTTGTGTTGAATGTTGATGTTCTTCCGTCCCCTGAGAGTACTTCCAACAGACTGCATGTTCATGTCTGCGCTCACTACTGACGGCAAATGACTTTATTGGATTTTAACAACACTGGCCTCATTTGTCATTTTGAAGGCAGAGCTTTTTGAAGAGCAATTCTTTGATTGACATGAAAAATCTGTGATGAAAAGCCATAAGTAGTTTTGATTTTTTTATATTTATATTTCACTGAGCATCAACAATGCAAGATCTTACATTTCATTTCTTCCCGGTCTCAGATTGTGGATCTAAAGATGCAAATCCAATCATAAAGGCTTACAGGGAGACTGCAAGTGTAATAAGAAAAGTACAGAATTATTAATTGACTAGGCATGAGATGTAGAAAAAACTTATAACAGAGTTGTTTTACAAGCAAGAGAAAGAAAACATCCATGCTATCATGTTTAGAAAGAACATCCAAACCCTGCACCCCCTCCACCATCCTCAGCATAGTCCTCCATATTCTCACCCTGGAGTTTTCCCATACCAGTCCGCCCTTCCCTTTGCATCCGCCCCCTCTCTTTTTTTTTAAACCAAACCTCAAGCTCCCTCTCCTTCCCCTGGGCAATGTTGAGTGCCTCGGTCCAACTTCCACCCCCTCGTCATTTATTTTCCAGGCCTATGTGCTTTGTCAAACAACTGGACTATCCACAGTATGGTTACAAGAACAATGTTTCCACCAGCACGCCCCGCTCCAACCTGGCCAAGGAGCTGGAGAAGTACTCCAAGACCAGCTTCGACTACAGCGCCTTCGACGGCAGCAACAACCACCAGGTGTACGGGAAACGGGCCATCGCACCCAAAGTTCACGGACAAAGAGACACCTCGCCCAAAGGATATGACGGTAATGTTTCACAGAAAGATTGGTTGGAATTTCAATTTTCCCGAGATGTTCTCATGGCGTCGTTTTCATTCCTCCCAGACTGAATTTACTGTTTTAATTGTTTTTTTAAGATTTAGTAACCTCATAAGTGCACACACATGACTATTAAGAGCTGTCCCAAATAAATGTTTCAGGATAAAAAGATCCAATGCGGTGGTCCGCTGATTTGGCTTTGGTAAGATTGAGACCTGAAAAGAGGCGTTCTGATATTTTCACTAAATTAGCCCGGCATGTTTTGTTGTGTAAGCCTTGGAACAGGCTGTTAAGGCGGCAACAACAATCTGTAGTTTAACTGAGATCAATTTAAGTGTGCTACTTAAAGAGCTTGTTTTTGACATTGACTGGTTCAGTTTGTTTTTGTAAATGTCTGACAGTGTGACAGAAAGGATTCCCACTGAGATGCACATTTTAGTTAAATGCTCTATTTTAAAAACTGTTTCATAGCTCTCTTTATAACCACCGAACTCTACTCTACTCCTGCTGTGAAGTGCAAGTTCTTAATAATCAGACGGAGACTATGTCAGTTCTTTTATACCATCCTCATCATCATCATCTGTTTAGGGCGGTCAAACCACCAAGCAATGTGAGAATCACAGCATGTGTACTAAATAAAGAAAATTAGCTTCCAGAACTACAGGAGCTCTTCACCTGCCTCGATCAGCTAGTTTTTGTGTTTCAAAAAAATGTATCTGTTGATTCTGGTGGCTTTAAGTAGAGCAATGTGATGACTGTTTTGGTTTAAAAAGTCCAATCTGCAGGGGTCATTCCCTTAAATTTCTAAAAGACAATTCTGCTAACAATCTGAGCCCGTCAGTGGTAAAAAACAAGCGCTTATATTGGATGTGCTTTGATCAGTCTTATTGGCCTAGAAGGATAACATTGTAGGTATTCTAGTCATATGGTGGCTTTCAGCTTAGACAGCCTACAGGAGCAATTTCAAAACAGTTTGAATCTACTATTCAATTACACTTCAAAACATGGAAATACCACACCAAAAAGACCCATCAGAACCCCCCTTTAAGGTTTAGTGAAACATCTAGACTATTAAAACGGATGTGCAGAGTAATCCTCTTCTTCTACATCCTAAAATGCATTTTATCACCTTAAGAAATGAAGAAACAATCATTAAAACTTAAAACAAATTCCTATAAAGCACCCCTGGTAGTTTTTCTTAAAAAGCCTCTGGCCGTGTATTCAGTCTGAATTTCTTCTCTGCCCTCTTGCAGCCAAACGTTACTGCAAGAACTCCAGCTCGGCCAGCAGCACCACCAGCACCTACGCTCCCAGCAGCAGCAGCAGCAGCCTGAGCTGTGGAGGTGGAGGAGGGGGCATGGGAGGGGGAGGGGGGAGAGGAGGCGGGGGCAGCAGCGCCAGCAGCACCTGCAGCAAGAGCAGCTTCGACTACAGCCACGACATGGAGGCCGCCCACATGGCCGCCACGGCCATCCTCAACCTGTCCACGCGCTGCCGAGAGATGCCTCATGGCATGGGGGGGAAACCCCAGGACCTGTGCTCGCAGGTAGGAGCCATTTTTAAGTCTTTGATGAGGTTCAATTAAGATCAAACGTTATTGATACAAATTGATACCACAGCAAAACAAAAAGAAGTCAAAGAGCGCTCATAATGACTAACTTTTTGTTTTTATTTACCAAAAAAAGCCAGGCAAACTCCTGCACAATTGCACACATACGTTTCAGTGCTCCCTCTCTTTCTCTTTTAGCAGCATTGGTTAAAATATGACTGAAGATCTTGCTTGCTTGCTTCAGTGTTTTTTGATCCTGTCGCTCACTGGCAATGAGGGAAATTGTGTTTTTTTTAAACACGTGGTATCGTAAAGTATTGAACATTTTGACAATCCTATTACAAGTGCACATTTAATGAACTAAATGAAAAAGAAAAAGAAGAGAGATTTACAGGTGTTAACGTAATCTTTAAAACATGAGGTGAGGGGAACTCTTTTTTTAAATCAAAGGATGTCAGCTGATTTGACCCTGCAGCCTCATATGTTGTCAGTTCACCTTTGTAAGACTTTGGCCTCCTGCTGCACTCACACCAGTCCACTGACAGATTATCTCTGCGTGCCCTTCATTATTTTAATGCGGGCAGTGAAAACTGACAGAGATAGGGAGACTACAGCTGCAAACACTCATTCACACACACACACACACACACACACACACACACACATTCCATTAAAGATCCAGGGCTGTGTCTTACACTCAGGGCTCAGCAGGGCAGTTTTTTATTTTCCATCTGGGGATCAGATAGGAGCAGGACGAAGCGGCGTTTGACACGGCGTGAGCCCAGTGTGTCATTTCTGAGGAGATAAGGTGACGGTGTTCCTGTATTATCTGTGCCGAGATGCTGAGCTGGAAAACGGGGGTGAGAAAGAGAGTGCGCAGCAGAGGGCTAATGCTGGCTTAATGCTAATGTTGACAGCGGAGACTGCTGGAGAATGAGAGGGAGGGTGAGAGAGCTGGAAGTAAAGAAAGGGAGCAAGGAAAGGTTTTGTGGTGGGAGGTTCAAAATGTCAGAGGAGAGGAGAGGAGCGGAGAGGAGAGGAGCGGAGGGGAGAGGAGAGGAGAGGAGAGGACTCAGGAAAAGGAGAGGAGAGGAGAGGACTCAGGCAAAGCAGAGGAAGGCAGAATCAAGGAGGCGGAAGACGATGAAAGTCAAAAGCAGCGTATTTCCAAAGGAGAGTGGAAGGGAATAAACTTGGTGGGAACAAACGCCTGCAGCAGTCAGTTCTTCCTCCGGTCGTTCTTCATTTCATTGTCTGTCCTCCCCCCGCTCCGGGCCAGACGGGCAGGATGCTCTCGGGGCAGGATGGGAAGATGGGAAACTTCAGAGACTTTTTTTATTTTTTTTATTACTTCTTCTTTCCTCTTTCATCTCAACACCTCACCTCGTGGCACACACTGTTCCTTTTCTACGTCTGAATGAAACTTCACACACTCACCCCTATATATTCTCTATATATTGCAGCCTGTTTTTCTGCCTCCTTCTCTTCTTCCAGTTGCTCTTTGACTTTTATAGAAGCCGGGTTTGCTGGAAGACTTGACTGTATTTAATGTCATAAAATTATGATTTATTTTTTACAATTATTAGAGATTGTAGCCATTATCAATATGTAGGTATTTTGCCGATTAGTTCTCTGAAGGCAACAGACTTAACAGTTAAAATGGGAAGCAGGTTGTTAACCACATACTTTGCCATCAGTCAGTTTAGTCCTTCCTGGCTTTCAGATTGTGGAGCTGGCCGTAATTTAAAATCAAGCCTTGGAGTTTTGAAGGGAGTAGCTTCTTCTTGTCTGCCGAGTAAACGTGAGCTGCACCTGAGTCTCCAGTGTTTGCAGCACCAGACTCTCTGGCAACTACTTGAGTAGAAGTGTTGTTTGGCTTGCTTGTTTTGTGAGATTTGAATGACTATTCTAGGCGTCTGACACATTTTCTTTCCTGCATATAGACAACAACTCAACACTGCATTCCTGTCCTTTACCTAAAGGGAGGAAAAACGTATATTGGTGTTTTCCAAGACAGAAAGCTCCCGCCTGAATTATCATCAGCCGCCGTGTGTTTATTGCACGGGATATTCTTATAAGTGATTTCATTTGAAGTATAATCAAAGCAAAATTTTTGAAGTTGCACAACCTTTTTCTCAGAGAAAAGATGCCTTGGATATTTTTAGCCTCTGTCAATATAAGATGATCTTGGAGAAGGGTTAAACTGTTTTTTAGAGGAACGTTTGAACCATGAAGCTGCCCAAAGCACACATGAATAGACGGGATAGGAGAGTGAGATAAAAAAAAGAGAAGAAGACGGTGTGACGCCGTTTTAATTGTAAACCGTGAGTAGGTGAACAGAGGTAATGTGGTTAAAATAAGCTTGTGACCTCTCTTACTGAGGAAGTGTTCCTCCAGGAGTCCCAATGGAAACCAAGATTTATTTGTGGGCGGGGGGGGGTCTGTAGTGACACAAGGTGGTCTCTAATGAAGGCGGTGGTGTTCACCCTCACATATCATCCTTGTTAATTCGATATGAAGGGGTGGGTCACGTTAATTGACAGTGACATACAATACAACGGCTGACGAGGAGAGGGCGGCCCGAGCGTGATCACAAGGACGAGGCGAGTCATGACGTGATGATCAGCTTCTCAGCAACCTGACCTTTTATTTTACAACTGTTTGTGTCGCTATGGAAGGATCATTCTTAAACCTGGGATCTGATTTTCATATTTAGGGCTCTGAATGCTTAAAAAGTTTCAGAAATTAATACTGTAGATTGTTGTATCCAGCAGCTGCAAAACAGGTTGTAATGGCTGCAGTTTGATCTGATTCCAAACAAAGTATGTCCTCTCAAAGTGCTTGTTTTTGTCACTGACATTTAGATGACATGCTTTTATAAAGCTGTTACATCGCTCTCTTCAAAACCATGACAAAATCACAACATTACATTGACAAAAACTCTAAAATGATCTTGCAGAACTCAGGAGTTTCTCGTGTACCACAGTCATTTTCTTTCCCCCCATGATGTTTGTAACAACTGTTTTTAAGTGAACCATCTCACACAATAACACACCCTCACTAACCAATTAAGGCAGCTGTAGACCAGCCAGTCCTGCTTCTTCCAGGTTCAATTACTGTTATTGTCAGTGGAGTCTGAAATGTAAAAAAAAAGGTTTATAAATAACAGATATCTCCTCTAAAATCTTTTACTTATTTCCTTCTCATCTTTGCCACCTTCTCTCTCTTTAACAAGCTCTTACCTTAACCTACAATTCAACTTTTGTTGTGTTTGATAGAAGCAGAAAACTGTGTTATTATTAAAGCTCAAGTTTGTCAGGTTTCAGCTCAAACTGTTAACGAACACTCATATTTAGCCGTCTGTGTTTGTCTTGTTTGATTGCCAACCTTTTTGTTACAGCACCTTTTATAATTTATAGTGAGAGATTTTTCACCAAAGACTAATATCCCAGCTGTGATAGTGTTTCTCTGCTCCCTTTTTTTTTTCACTGCTATATTTAAGCCACAGTTGTTGCAGTATTCATGCCCAGCTCCAAATCCATCACCCCGTGCATTTGAGTCAATGTGCGTCACAGAGGTTTTGGCTTCAGACACCAGGAGAATCCACCCCTAGGGACACTGTCGGCTGAAATCAGCATTAAAGCGGGCTTTCCTTCTCATGAAAGGGAGCAAAGGCAGCGAGGAGGATGCAGAGGAGTCGAGGGGAGATGAGAAGCGGGAGGGATGTTAATGAGAGCGAGGACGCAAACACATCCGCACGCTGTATAAAATATAATCCTTACGGGATAGTGACTCTTTTCAGTATATGCAGTGCATGCTAGATGAAAGAGAAAGGCGTGCCTGCGTGGATGTATAGATTCACAGAGCGGTCCGTCTTGTCCGATGTGGCCCACTTTCATCCAGAACAGTTCTGCTTCTATTTTTGGGTTTGCAGCAGTCTGCCGCTCATCAACCCCACCCCCTAACCCTCAGCCCCCTCTGCTCTGCCCCCCTGTGATGTCCACTCACATTAGTCTCACACATACACAACACAAAGTCATGCACACACCCCCCTTCTGACTGCACAGAGCAGAGAGGAGAACAGAGGGATGGAGGGAAAGAGAGAGATAAAGAGGAGAGGAGGGGCGGACAGAGGGATGCACTCGTCCTTGAGCACTGATGACCTCTTCTTCTTCTGTTGAGCCTCTTACATTGTTACTGTACTTTACAAGTGTCTGATATTTCCTCATAGTCAGAATTGGGAGAAGAAAAAAAAAAGACTGGAGTATTTTTCAGTTATTTGATTTTGATCCATCTTTGCAGACATCTAAAAAGTGAACACATCACGGGAGGAACAAAAGAAAATCGGAGCACTTTTCATGTACCTCTTTAGTATTCTCTGTGTCGTAAGTGACTGTTTTGCCCAGCTCTGATCCTCGAGTATGAAAATGTTTGACTGCTATTTAATCAGAAACTCTCTCTCTCTCTCTCTTTCCCTTGTATCCCTTTCTCTCTCCATCCCTGCCTCCCTATGTTCCGTGCATCCTTTTACCCTTCCTCATGATCATCTACTTACTCAACACACACACGCATCTCTTCCCATTATACCGCCCTGACTTCCCCCCAACACACACACACACTCTCACACTCTCACACTCTCATCCACACACAACCTTCCAGAGCCCGGGTCTCGATGTTGATGAGAACGGTACGTTGGACCTGAGTATGAGCAAGCGTCTGTGCGGCGGCGGCGGGGACTCGGTGCTCACCCCTCTAGAGCCCATGTCCCCCCAGAGGCAAGCCGCCCTGCTGGGCTCCCGCTGCTACGGCATCGGGGACGCCGCCGACTGCTGGGACCTGCCTGTAGACTACACCAAGATCAAACACATAGACGAAGACGAGAAAGAGGTAAAGGGGCGAACAGAGCAGATGAGATGTCATGTATCTTTTTTGTTTGAAGGCAGGACGGTAGATCACTTCCTGAACTTAATCGGTCAGTTCCCATATTCTAAGAAATCTGCAGCTGATATAGTGTGCTAACATTTGGATTTCTGCTAATTGTGATGACTTTTCCTGGAGAATCATCACATGCATCATTTCTAGAACTTTCAGTACCTGAGACAAAGGCTTTATAACGTCCACCTTTTTAAGACAGTATTGAACTTGAGTCATATTAAAATGAATGGAACAGTCTGTCATATTTTTCATTAAATCTGGCTAAATTGAAACACAAAGCTTTAACAACATTTTACCTAACTCTTTAGAAGTTACTTTAACTCAGAAAATGTAGTGATTTGTGGGGTATGCTCATTTTCTTGAGCCAAATGTCTACAAAGAAATATATGTCCATCTTTGTTATTGTCGCTTACTTTGAGGTCTATTCTTTTTCAAATTCCCCATATACTTTAAATCTTTACAACCTCAAGTTTAATAAGCATATAAGTTATTATTGATCATGAAGTTTTAGAATAATTTGACAAGAAGTCGATGAATCAAATCGCTACTGCCCGACTCCTGCGATGTTTCCGTACCACATTTGACTAAATGTGATGACAACATCAATAAAAGTTCAGCATAATGACGTAATGATGGACGCCTCTTCCCAAAGAATTAATGTTCTAGCTGTTTTATTTTGGATCATTTTAAAGAAGAATATTCAAACAACATTTTTGGAAAAGTCCTCATCAAGTTCACTAGAAAGTTGAAATCTCCTTTGTGAAAGAATTTCATGACAGAAATCCGTTTGTGCTGTGTGAAGAAATGTGCAATATTACTTTCATACAAATCTTTAATTCTTGAGTAGTGAAAAACCTGTAAGGTAGCCATCCATTATCCTCATAAATGTCATTTTTCTGCAGTTGTTCAGTTCACGGTGATACCAGACTTAAAATGGAAATAACAGAGATTACTTGCTAAAGAAAGACAGATGTGATGTCTGTGATTATAATAAAGCACTAGTATGTGATCGTTTTTGGTTTTGGAAGCTGACAGAAACTGTCATGTGTCACTTCTTCTTCTACTGTCTGCTGAATGTGTTTCAGCCTTAATTAATTCCCTCCAAGCCATCGATTCAACACAAAGTCTCCAAATCAAACATTTACACTCTTTTAGCTTTTTACCTCTGTCTGACTTACTGCTATATTTTGCATCGTTAGAAAGTCACATTAGGTGTTTCTTGAGGGAAACCTAATGAATCTGCATGTTAATTGATGTCAGCCTTGCCTTGCACAGAGGTATCTGCTCTGTTTGTATCATGCTCCTCGCACGCTGGCTTTCTGTTTTTACATTTTGCTCTTCTCCAAAAATGAATTATGCAAAGTAGCACCTTGGGAGGGAATCGGAATAGCTCATCTCATCAAAGAACTGCTGGAAATCAATGCACCACTGCTGGGTGCCGCGTCTGTCAGTGTGTACAGACACATGCATGTACAGTACATGAGACGTGAATATTCATATGAGAGCGTCTGTACTCAGTTCTCTTTGGGAGTGCGTCTCCTTCCCTAGCCTACTTTCTGCTCAGTGTATGTATGCATGTGTCGTCCTCCTTCCTGTCTGCCTCTCAGCCTGCGCTCCCTTTAATTGGAGGAGCTCGCTGGCTGACCCAGCATCACACACTCCCAGACAGCTTGAGCGCTGGATAATTTGGGCCGTATCTGGACCTGTCTCTTTGCACGCATTACTGTACATACACTGCGAGCACGGAAGAAAGGAAAGAGGATTTGCATCAACAGCCGTCGTGCCCTGACTGCATGCACTGCAGACAAAGCACAGCCCCAGATAACACAGCCAGCAGCGGTCTGACACCACACCACAGTGCCATCTAGTGGCTGAGAGGTGCATTATCAGGAATAGAACCAGCCAACTCCCCGAATCCTCCGTACTCACAAATGAGAATACTCTGTGACAGATTGATTTTTACTGTCTCTGCATGCACATGAAATTAAAAAAAACTCATGGGTTTACAAGACAACAAAAGAACAGATGCAGTGGTCAAATATTTCATTTCATTACAAAATGACTTGTCATTCTAGAGCTCCATTGTAAACAAAATATTCAACCTTCTCTACCAAGCTTGAAAAAATCTGCTACAAAAAAGGTTCAAGTTCAAGTTAGTTATAGTCGTTCTTCATCTGGCGTGACATTAAACCTGCTGCTCCATCTGGCTTATAAAAATGAACAGAACTTAAAGAAAGAAACGTTACCATTATGGATCATTGTCATTTGTTTAAATCATGTTTCACACAAGGCTGCAACAATAAGTTTATCTTTTTTGTTTTTCCAAAATTTAAACGCCCAGAAGTGAGGCCGAACACACACAAACCTGCTGTTGGTTGACACAGTCATTATTTCCTCCCCAGGGAGGTTATTTTTGACCTGTCGGACTGACAGGTGAAGCTCAGTAGTCACACAGCATAAGCTGTTAGCATTCAAATTGACACACCTCTGTGGTCTGACAGGTGTGAGTGCAGAGTCTAAAAAAAACAGACACAGGTGAAGAGAGGAAGGAAAAAACCTTAAAACTGAGTCTTAATGATGTGCAAAACTGTGTTTAATAATGAGTGTAAAATAAACATCTTCATCCCTCTCTTCCTCTATTTTCCTCCATCTTTTCCCCCTCTCCCCTTTGTGTCCCCTTCCTTCTGTTTCCTCCAAATCTCAGCCGGACGACCTGGACCCGTTCCACGACCTGCTGGACGACCGCTCCTACACCACAGATGTGAACATGCCCAGCCCCAAGCCCAAGTATGTCCAGTGCAAAGAGAGTAAGAAGGACCTGATAACGTAAGAGCCCTCCTTCTCTCCCCAAATCAACATTCCTCCACTTCCTGCACTTCTCCCCTCTCATCTCACTATTCTTTCTTTTGTGTTCATCCCTTCCTTTTTACCCGTTAAGCCTCACTGCTCTGTCTCCCTCCCCACATCCTGTGCTGCTGGCCTGCTTTATTCATTTACTGTCCACACTGATCTTAGAGCTTGTAGAGTGATGCGTTCTCTTTAAAAAAACACAAAACTAGTCTCAGTATCTCAATATTTTAAGAGTAGTTGATCTCAGGAATTATTCACAGACGGTGAAGCTAAACTGGAAACAATGAAAACCCAACAAAAATCTGAAACAACCCCCTTTATTTCTCTTATTTTCACACTTTCCTCTCCTTCCCTTTGGGCTTATAAATCTGTCTATTTTCTCGGTGACAGATGTCCCACACCGGCGTGTGATGGAAGTGGTCACTTGACGAGCAATTTCGCCTCACATCGAAGGTGTGACTTCCTTTTCTCCTGGTGGAGTCTCAGTCTATCTCTCTTTATTGTTTTCAGCTTACCTCAACGATGCTGTCAAACACCTGTAGGCAGAATCTCTTCTCTCTTATTTGTTGGCTCTTTAACTACTACAACAAGATATCATAAAACAAGGGAGGACTAAATTAATAAATGATGTGATACATGCTCATTTCGGAGCTAAACCCTGGGATAAACGTATTTCTCAATGGGCCGTGTGTAAAGCCTTCTAAGCTGATGTTATTCAGTCCTTCAGACCCTTCCCACGGAGCAATGCAGACTAAGCATTTACCATTCAGAGCAGGAAGACTTAGGCAGAACTGCTGAGTGTTGCAGTGTGAGATGAGTCGGCAAGAACTGAATCATATCAGTCTGAAGGCCGACATGGCAGCACATACACCTGATTTCCCCTCCAGCAGCCACACACTGAACACAACACGTTGACATACCCACCTTGATGACCCCAATTGTTTTCATGTTTGTATTTTTCAATTTGAAGTCTTGAATTGGGCATTTTTGCCGTCCAAACTCACAGAGATGTGGCAAATCGTTATGTTCACAGAAAAGTAATGTGTTGAACACTTCATTGCATATGCTGTGTTTTCAACAAACTGCCTTCTAAATATGTCAGGGCTCACACCCCCTTCACTGCTGATTTAATAAATAAAACCTTGTAAAAAAAAAAAAACTGGAGAAAAATTATTCATACATCTGTTTAGATTGAACGAGCCTCTGATTGACAGATTTCCTGTGAAGCTACTTGTCAATCACAGAAACTTGTTTTACCGAGGTAGTGAATTAAAGGTCACATATTATGCAAAATACACTTTACCATGTTTTTCTAACACTACTATGTGTCCCCAGTTTGTTTACACACTCCGCAATTATGAGAAAAGTCCATCCTCTCTGTCTTTCAACTGCTCCATTTTTCATAAAATGTGTGATCAAACAGGCCGTTTGGAGATTTTCCTTTCATGACATCACAAAGGGGAGTAACCCCTCCCCCAGGTGGGTGACACTCCCACAGCTAGGTGTTTGTTTTGCCCTCTGAGTCTGCCTTCTCATTGAATCAAACGGGCATGGAGGGAGAAAGCCCGAGACACCTGAGCCCTTCCAGAGAGGGGGCGTGGTCAGACACAGCTCAATTACATTTAAAGGTACAGACACAGAAACAGTCTGTTCTGAGCAGGGCTGAAATAGAGGGGTTTATAGACATGATCAAATACAGGATCAGAGTGGATTTAGAACAAGAAATTACACACACATGTTTGGTGAGCTTTGTAGACTTATTTCAACTGTTTGAAAAGGAGGAGAATATGTGACCTTTAACTAAAAAAGTAGACACTATATCCCCTTCTACTATACAGTCTTAAGGAACAAATATAGGATTTGAATGAAGCCCTTGTCCCTAACTTATATAATTAAGCCCTAGAGTCCTCATTGAACACAGAGCAGAACAGACGATGTACCGGTATATGCAATACGAGCTTTAACTTAAACAAATCACCCTGCACTTCATCATGGCTTCTTTTTCATTATCTGGCATGTTTTTGTATATGTCTGTGTGTAGAAACAGCGTTGTGTCTGAGTGGTCACTGTGTGTTGCAGTTGTGGAGGTAACTTGTGATTTTGGTGTAACTAACGTTCCCCTGGTGTATTTTTCAGTCTCTCAGGTTGTCCTTTAGCTGATAAAAGCATTCGAAGCATGCTGGCCAACAACGCGCAGGAGCTCAAGTAAGGCTCACTGATATATGTATGTGTGACATTTGTGATTTGTTCACTCTGTAAGGGTGAGGTCGGCCTTATGAATGTTTGACGAGGTGATGTGGAAACCAGTATTATGGAATGATATGAAAATCTATTGTTCTGCTTTTTGACAGAAAGAAAAGTTTAAAGCCGGGAGATATTGTACATTTCTTTTATATTGTCAGTAAATCCCTAATAGACCCAAACCAGAAATGTGTTGATCCTGATAAAAAAAGGATTGTCTATGAATCCAAAGCCACACATGTCATCTTCTTCCACTGAGCCATCAAGCTCCATCTTGTCTTTAAACCACTATAAGCACATCAGCAAACCTCGAGATTGTATTAGATTATTGACATGAATCAAACCTACATAATACACCAAACCAATGAAAGGGAACTACAGTAGTCAGATATTTTAGACAAATTCTGTAGTCTTTTAATTTTTTTTCATAAAGATAAGTTTTTCATTTAGAACCAGTAGGACTTTGACTGAACACCATAAACTGTTTAGGGGGACTTAAAGTTTTTATGAGAAGGAGAGAAAGTTTCTTGTTTTTTTTAGTGAAAATGAGTAGAAAGGTTTGATATTGCGAGAATCAATCTCTGATGATTCATTAATCAGAACCAGTGTGAGAAATCTATTGAGTTTCAGGGCGTCTCAGACCCCTGAACAAAAAAGTATCACTCCTTCAAAATGAGAACATTTGGAAATTCTTCACTTTTCATTTCATTTTGAAACTGAGGAGTTAGCAGGTATAAATGACCATACACTTACAAGGGAAAAACATTTCTCTGGCTGCACAGCTGTTGGCATGGTGAATACCTGTCAGTTTACTTCGCCTCCAGCCTCTCTGCTCTTTTTATTATAAATATCTGTATTTATCCAAAGAAAAATAAGTATTGTCAGACTGTAAACAGTTGTGTTTGGGCAACATCCAAAAGGAATTTAGAATTCTAAGTTTATAAAAGAAAAGTCCTCCCATTTTGAACTCGTGTTTAAATGTTGTTTTAGTTAAATATAAAATGTAACATTTTATTCTTTTACATTTTTATTACATCGGATTGTGTGGCTGATATAAGATGCTGTTGCCTCTATTCAGATTATTTAGTTAGTGTGCGCCATGCAGGACACTTTGTACACTTCATGACCAAATATCAGCCGTCCTTCATGCACCAATCAGAAATAGCAATGAGTTTTTCTTCTTTTAATGAGAAATGTATTATCACACATTTCTATAAAATCATTCTAAACTGGTTAAACATCTGCCGGCTTGTTTCCGGACTTGACTTTGATTCAATTTAGAAAAAAAGTCATTAAAAATACAATTGTTTAACCTTTACTTACTTTGACGTAACCATGACGGCGACAGTTCAGATTTAAAAGTGTAAATTGTTCAACACTTAAAGTTTGACTACTTTGAGTCTACCTTCAGAAACTTAAAGCAGATATATTTTGCCATAACTGTCTGTGTGAATGTGAGAGTGCCCTCCTTACATGAGTTTAGTGGAACACATAATGAGAAAGTCTGTTCTAGTCAACCACACATTACAAAGGTCCTCCTCAAGATTGCCATGAAGTGTTTCATAACCACTGTGATGCAAATATGAGCAGCTGTCTTGTCACACTGTATCTCACAGATAAAACCACAAGAACTCTAGAAGCTATTGTCATGACCCAGCGTGAACCTTTGCTGTAGGCCCTGAGCCCTTTCTTGTGTTTTCTGCCCCAGGTGCCCGACACCAGGGTGCGACGGCTCGGGACATATCACTGGCAACTACGCCTCTCACAGAAGGTACACCAGCCTCTCTGCAGCGTACACACATGAATATAGATTCCACTCTTTTCTCTGATTTCACATAACATCGTAACGTTCTTACCTCAGCCTTCTTCTACTCTTCTCTCCCTCTATCTCTGTTTCACACACACACACACACACACACACACACACACACACACACACACACACACACACACACACTGAATGCTTCAATGTTGTAACACTGTCATTTATCTGCAGTCTCTCCGGGTGTCCTCGGGCCAGGAAAAGTGGGATAAAGATCATCCACAGTAAAGAGAACAAGGAGGACCAGGAGCCTATCAGGTACAGTACAGACACCGATCATCAGTCTTCTCTCCCCCTCTTTAAAAGCCTGAAACTCAAGCTCCTTCTCCTGCGACCAACGCTGCTCACTCTGCACTGCTTGCTCTACAATTCCCACGTGAAATATATAAAAAAACATGACTTTACTTTTCCCGCTTCCAAATGATGCAAGTAAGCTGTGTGACTGGGAGCAAAAGAGCAGCGCTGTGTTTTCCTAGTTAGGACATCGCTCTTTGACGCGAGCAGGAATAAATCAGCGTTAGCTCTGACAAGACAAACGAGCGTAAAGTTTCATCCCAAATCTGACGGTGCAGAAGAAACTTCAGAAGGTTGTAGCGGTTTAGAGAGAGGAGATTGTTGCAGTCTCAGGTGGACTCCTGAAGACACACGCACACACACACACACACACACACACACAGACACACACACACACACACACACACACACACACACACACACACACACATACAGACACATACACACAGGTAAGGAAAGACAGAGAGGCGAGCACAGATGGAGAGATAGAGGGAGAGAGAGATTGATTGGACTCTAGCTAAATCCCACAATGGGCTCCTCTGGCCTCAGCCCAGCAGCAGCAGCATTGATTTCTCTGGTGGTGCAGAGGCACAAATAACACACCTTCCCTCCGTTCTCAATCTTTTCATTCTGTTGGATTCTGAGGACAGTGTGTCACTGCTATCTCTGACACTGTGCTTTATTGACATGAAATAATCTTTAGGAAAATAAAGCAGTTACCATGTCAGCTTTGAAACATCGTAAAAAGATTAAAGTGTTATTTCAGTGTATTTACCCCTATTTAAACATACTTTGGATCTAAATGAAAGTAATTCTCTCTGTAATTTCTCCTATAAAGGACATCAGTGTCTAAAATGTCTTAGGTTGTTTATAACAACATTACAGATAAGACCTCTACAGAGATAGACGTTCTTCTTAAGGTGATATGCTCTAAATGAATCCTGAAAAGCTGTTCAGTCGCTCTCTTTAAAGGTATAATATGCGGCTTGTGATCCAGTAGATGTTGCACTGTGGCACCAGTCTCTCAGACCGAAACAACCTCCCTCAGCGCATCGCCTTCGCCGCCATTATTTTGTCAGCCAATTAGAATGACAGCCATCTTTCTGTTTAGTGTGTATTCTTTAACCAAGCATGTTTGCACCCAGGGATATTGTTGCAGCCCTTACTGCTGCTGGTTGAGGTGGTCTACTAGAGCAATTACAAAACATTCTGTACAAATCAATGCATACGATTTTTTTTAAAAGGACCTCGACTGAAGAGAATAAATGTGGACAATGTGCACTGAAAGTTACCAGATACTGAAATTAAAGGCAGGGTTGGTAATTTTCTCCAGATACTCTTTTTAAGATTTTGGTTAAAATTGTTTTTAGGTCCTGACAGAAATTAATAAATCAGGTGCTCTGAAAAAGGAACAAAAAAAATCTGTCATCTGTAGCCAATGTAAGCCTGTAAAAACTTCAACCAATGTCTGCCACGAGGTACCAATCTGATGAACCAATCACGAACCTCCCTGTCTCCCTGCTCATTCTCTACATCATGCATGCACAAGCCCACACTCAAAGCATGAGCTGAGGTCAGCTTCTGGACCAATGGTGCTTCTGCATGTAAGTGAGGGGCGTGGCTTTTGAGGGAGCACAGAGGGGAGGGGGTGCAGACCGAGCACTGAGGGAATGCTACTTTCCAAATCATGCTAGTTTTTGAAAATTACCAACCCTGCCTTTAAGTTAACCGGCCAGCGCAGCGTTAAAGGGATAGTTCAGTTTATTTGAGATTGTATGAGATACTTATTAAGTGTATTATGTGCAGTCGATAACAGTCAGCAGCACGGTCTCTGTTTGGAGAAACCAGCTGGAGTTTCCACATGGAAGCTTAGCTATGTACCTCTGCAGATGTGGTCGCCTATAGAGACCACATTTGAAGTTTACTCTGTATTTGTGGATATTTTTTGACACTATACCTTAATGTAAACAGCTCTTTCCTTTGGGACTCTTCTTCTAAGCACAAGACCCTATGTTCTTCTGAATGCCGTGCAATTTATTAAAATACACTAACTTTCACTTTTGATCAGTACCTCATACAACCCCACTTTAAAAAAAAAATATTCCTTTAAGGTTTTGAAAACTGGAAATTGGATATTTTAAGCTTATTCTACAACTTTTAATTTAAATTCACAGGAAGAAAGATACTGTTGCAGACAGCAGTGCACACCTGTATCTTCCTTCCTGTATCTCCTCTGCAGTCTAAAGTAGTCTGATTTCTCGAACACCATAGAAAAGGTGATGTTGCAGACAGCTGTGCACACCTGTATCTTCCTCTATCTCCTCTGCAGTCAAAAGAAGACTGCAGAGTTGAGCTAAAAACCCGCTCTGCTGTTTGCAGACAGTAGTGAGACTTATTACTTTCACATGTGTATCCAGCTTTAGCCATAATCCATTCAGCAGGTTTGACATTTGGAATAATTTACTGCCTCATTGCATCTGATTAGCACTGGTGTTGATGCACTGTCAGCATTTCCCAAACCGTGATAAGGCTGCCAGTGGGACAGCTTTAAATAAGAAGATGTTATCTTTGTTTATATCGAAGCAGAGGAGATAGAGGGAAACAGAAAAATGATATTTACTCATACAGTATGCGCTGTTGAAGTACTCAGGAGGCAAACACAGACTGTAGTGCGACTCAGCAGGTCACTGTTTGTGTGAGAAAGACGAGGACGTCTTCAACATGATAGTATCATCTTGAATAGAAATACAGCTTTTTGTTATATGAATAAATGTTAAAATGTGACTCTGTCCGTCCCTCCTTTAGGTGTCCTGTCCCGGGGTGTGACGGTCAGGGACATGTGACGGGGAAGTACGCCTCCCACAGAAGTGCGTCCGGATGTCCCATCGCTGCAAAGAGACAAAAGGACGGCTACCTAAACGGCATCCAGTTCACGTGGAAGTCTGGGAAAACAGAGGGCATGTCGTGCCCAACGCCAGGCTGCGACGGCTCGGGTCACGTCAGCGGCAGCTTCCTGACACATCGCAGGTGAGACCAAAGAACAAACTGAGTGTTACTGCTGTGAACTCAGCCGACCCTAACAGAGAGAGTCGGCTGAGGTCAGTTTAGAGGACCATGTTCAGTGTTCATAGTCTTAACTTATCATTTGAGTGGCTAATGGCAGCATGAAATCACAGTTTGTTTTTTGAGATCATGTGATCAATGTTCCAGTTATGAGAGGAAAATTAATTTTGTTGTCCCAAAATAACTAGAAAGAAAAGTTGAGATGTAGAGAAAAGAACTGAAATCAACTCTTTGTGACAGAAAATGTGGTGAATGAAATGTATGGATGCATGTCCACTTAGGGCTTCCGTAGTGGTGGTGGTTGTGAGAGGCATGTAAATTATGAAAACGTGTAAATATGTAAATTTCCCTGTTGTGGGATGAATAAAGGAATATCTTATCTTATGTGTGAACGACCAGATCAGGAGGAATCACATTCTCCTGAATTTCTCTAGACATTTTCAGGAGTGCATACTGTGAAAACAGCTCTAGGGTTGTATGCAGAGATTCAGTGGACAGTTGTAGATTCTATGATATGTTTTTACATGTTTGAACATTAGCTTGTTCACTTTTAAATCTGTATGTAAGACGTACAGCTGGAGCCAACAGACAGTTTGCTTTAGATGAAGACAAGCATCACTAAACCTGCCTAGATTAAAGGAAAACAGGGAAAAATGATATGTAATATAACCCAATAAAACATATTTATCTAACTGTATATGAAGAAAAGTGAGCTTTAGTGATTCTGGTACACATTTTAAAAAAATATGTTGGACAAATCCTCGTTAGCTGTTTCCCCTTTGTTTCAAGTCTTTATTTCAGGCTGTTCTAGCTGTGTCTATGAAGCAGCTACATGTTGACTACGTGGGCAAGAAAGCAGATTTCTGTGTTAAAGGAACATTTCCTCTTATCCCTCCTCAGTTTTTAAACCACGTTGACTCATTTTGTGTACGGTATATATTCCCCTCGTATGTTTAAAATATTCTGACACATGCTTCCTCTCCTTGTTTTTGCCTCCAGTCTCTCAGGTTGTCCGCGTGCCACCTCGGCCATGAGGAAAGCCCGGCTCTCTGGAGTGGAGATGCTCACGATAAAGCAGCAACGAGGCACCAACGGTAACTATAACTACCACTCCCTCACTCACACAATACAGCCAATCAGGAGCTGGTGCACTGATTTGCTGAACAGAATTCCAATTTCAGATAATAAACCAATCAGCAGGGTGTGTGCGAGTGTGAGTTATATCCTAGTAATGGCTGGAATTGGACATAATCTGCCATTGTGGGGCTTGTAAATAATGAGAAGAGCGTTCATGGCAGTGAACTCCAGTGAATTTCAACCCTTCATAACATGAACGTTCATCTTAATCAGCCTCAATAAACTGCCTCAGTTCAGTTTTAGAGGTGAAGACAGACTCACTCAGTGTCCTGCAGAAATCATACTCAGCCAGTCAAATTGACGTCATTTTTAATTACTTTAGTCCTAATATTATTCTATTTGATATTTTATCTCATTTTACTCTAATGAATGTCTGAGGCTTTGCAGTAATGTGTCTCCTTCTCTGTAGGGCTGGAGCATGAGGAGGACATCAAACAGCTGGATGAAGAAATCAAAGATTTAAGTGAATCAAATTCACAAGTGGAAGCAGACATGATCAAACTCCGAACACAGGTAAGTCACTTCCTGTCTCTTCTACTTCATATACACTCGAGATCGCAGTAGAGTCCCGCCCACTCCAAAGTAAACAACAACTCTTCTCTCTTCACTCACTTTTTATGAGGTCAGGGTGGCTCCTTGTCTTTCTCATCTGCTGGCAAAAGGCAGAAAATGTGTTAAAGCTTAGTGTTTGTGAACAACTGACAAGGTTAAGAAGTCAGAAATATGTTTTTAAGCATCCAATCATAGGCAGGATAGAATATGTGAAAGCAGCCTTTTAGTTTCCTTAGTGAAGCCAATGTTAAGATTCCTTAAATCTGAATTATTTGATATGGCCACCAGGGGGCGACTCCATTAGTTCCAAAAGGAAGTCATACTGCTGAGAAGTCTGTGAGTAAATAATCCCTTTTATCAGTCTCTAGTATCAGGTCTTTAATGAAGGTCAATTATTGTCCCATAGAGAACGTTGATAAAGCAACTTATTCTTCAACTTTAGCAAATCGCTAATTGTGACCTGCCAACTGAATTTGGACATACGTATAAAATCATGTCCATGCTCTTCTTAAAAAATATGGTCACCTCTGTCTTCACACATTTAGATTGTAGATCTAGATTTATTTTTTCAGATTTATTTTTAGGGCTTTTTATGCCTTTATTTTAGAGATAGGACAGATAGGTTTGGAAAATGTGAAGAGAGAGAGAGAGAGAGAGTGGAGAATGATATGGGGGAAAGGAGCCGCAGGTCGAATTTGAACCCCGGCCACCTACTTGGAGGCCTATGCCTCCGTACACGTGGCCCTCACACTAACCGCTAAGCTACCAGCGCCCCCAAAACAACACATCTAAGGCTTCCAAAAAGATTTCCAAAAACCAAGGGGTGACACAATAGAAGCTATGTTGACTTCTTCAACACTATGTTGGATAAAAAAAAACAGTAAAGGATTGTTGGTTTCGTCAAATAAATCTTTTCCTCTCTGACTTTAATGTTGTGTACGTAGCTAGCTGCAGTTATCTTTTTTGGTGTTTCAAGCCCTTTCTTATATCATGGCTCCATTGTCCTCCCCCTGTTGATGTTTATTTGTGTACCTGTCTGTGAAAACAAAGCTGTACTGTAACATCCTGTCACCCGGCCTTCCTCTCCTCAGATCACAACAATGGAGTCCAACCTGAAGTCCATAGAGGAGGAAAACAAGGTGATTGAACAGCAAAATGAATCTCTCCTGCATGAGCTGGCCAACCTCAGCCAGTCACTGATTAACAGTTTAGCTAATGTCCAGCTCCCTCCTATGGTAAGGGCCACCAGGAACGGCAAGCCAGCAAGTTGCAGAACATAGCCCGATGTGCATGCTGAGAGTCAAATGTGAAGCTTTGCTTGTCTTTCCAAACGGTGAGGGGGAGTTGTAAAAAATTAGATTTTGATTTAACGGAGTGATAGCTTCTCCAACAACAACAAAAAAATGAACAATACATCCAACAGTCCAGGCTGAACAAAAGTATACACAGTCAATAATTCATGCTTTAGAGAGGTGTTATAATTAAAGGAATCTGTGTTGAAAAGTTTTTCTCAGAGATGAAAACCTGTTTTTCTGACTGCATATCTTGTTTTTTTTTTTTGATGATTGTATTATATCGTCTAAAAGATGAAGCACAAAGTATCTCATTCTGTAAAGTTTCATAGTAATCTCACACTGTTTTCATCCCGTTCTTCATCGTTCATAATGTCCTCTTTATGATACTCACTGAGGACAGATGTTATTGTTCGCATTCCTTAACAAAGATATGAAGGATTTCTCAGTTGAGCATCCTGTTTGAAGTGACAAATGACTCGTCAAATCATCTGTGGGTCACATTATTTTACACCACTGGAGTAAGGTGCATTACATTATACACACGATATGAGTTGGCCTCGCTCTATGCATGTCTCGTCTTCATTCATGTCCACCTTCTTTGCTTCCACTTCATTTATTTCCCATGTGCTGTATGCTGTTGTATATCCTATACTGCCACCTAGTGTTGTAATATAAGAATGAGACGTAAGCATCTCAAAGCAAACTAATAGAAATGTGTCCTTTTTTTTATTCATGGGTAGAAACCACTGGCTCACAAAGAGCCGCCTCTGAGGAACAACAGCTGCTTACAGCTGCACCAGCAAGTAAGTTACTTCAAAATGTTTCCTTCATGCTGTTTATTTGTAATATTTGATTCACTTCATACACATATAACATCACTGTTACTGGGGCAAAGTGAGTCCAACACATGAATGGAACGTAACTTTACTACTGAACATGAAACAGAATTTAAGATGTTTGAACTTCAGTCTTTGGAAATCTTTTGAAAATAGAATTAAAAGCACTTTTTAAATCTTTGAAGTTGCAAATATTAATATATTTTTCTAAATGGCACTTTTGGGGTGCCGGTAGCCTAGTGGTTGGTGCACGTGCCCCCATGTACAGAAGCTTAAACCGACGGCTTTATGGGTTTAAATCCGACCTGCGGCTCCATTCCCGCAAGTCATTCCTCACTCTCTCTCTCTCTCTCTCTCTCTCTCTCTCTCTCTCTCTCCCTCTCCCTCCTCCTGATTCCTAACTCTATCACTGTCCTGTCCATAAAGGCAAATTTGGAGTCTAATCAGCGCTCACATTGGATTTGGTCAAATTCAAAATGTCATACACAACAACAAAAGTATTTGGCTGTCATTGTAACAGGACATGATAATAAATATATTTTAAATGTTTACATAGAAAGCTATGTAATGCAGCCATCGTACGCTTGTTACCTGAGAGCAGATAAAGGTCATTGACAGTACAGTCAGTATAGGTGGTGTGGGATGGATGATGTAAAAACATGACTTTCACCCGGGGACTTTGATAAAGGAATCTGGACACAAAACAAAAAAAAACGATGTGGTTGTATGAGTTGGAGTAGTTGTTGATAAATTGAGCAGTAAATATCTTACTTTTTTATTTGTGCAAGAAAAAACAAGACAAAAAAACTAGGGGCCATGAAATTATTATTTTTCATGGCAATTAATCGCACATTTTTGTTATTTAATCATGACTAAGCTTAGGTTTTTGTCTTAAGCTCAGAGGACTTAATGTGCTGTTTGAATTCAACCCTGCTTTTATTTTGAAATAAAATAAGGACCTTCTGGTACATCGAAAGGTTACAACATTAACATTAACACAGAAAATGGAACTCGTTACCGATCACAAACTGATGTCAAACAGCTCAAATGAACGGTAACAAAGGTCAATGTGTGATGTCATAAGGTGGATATATTACTGTTGACTCGTCAGATGAGCTGTCTGAGAGTTTGTTAAAGTGAAATGAGACATTCAAAGATGCAGCGATGTCCTTCTTTTACATCACTGAGACTACAGGGAGACACTGAGGACGACTATCTATGGTGCGCCTAAAGGGACAAAATAGCATGAGATTAATCATGATTAAAAAAAACAATGCATTAATTTCAGTCCTTAATTAATCTTAATGAACTAGTTTATGCTGACAGCCCTAGAAAAAACACAAATTGACATTAACGTAAAAATGTACAGGTGTGATTAAAAAAAACAAGATCTTGAAAAGGAAACCTACCTTAAAATGAAAAGCATCGACAAAGTCTCAGAACAGATTTAAAAGCAGATTCAGACACTTCTATTTAAACATTAAATATCCTCTATACACCGCAACACACCTCATATAAACACTACTGTAGGCTTGTTTAATATCTATGTTAAAAACATTATTTCAATATATTTTGATAAAGATTTCAATCAGGATGAAGTTTTCCCAACCATTCATCAGCCAGTACATTTTAATAATATTAAACCTCCTTCTCATTTCATGTCTTTTTTTTTTTGTTCTGATTATGTTCTGTAATACCGATGATTAGAAGCCGTGATTTGAGCTGAATCTTTCTTGAACATGAGATATGTTAAAATAAATCTATATTTAAGGACATACTAAGTTCTCGCCCTCATCTTTTTGTCCCTCTAATAAGCGCTCTGTTGTTTTCCGTCCTGCAGGACCCAATAAGCGAGCAGAACTTTGATGCCTACGTAACCACTCTGACAGATATCTACACAAACCAAGACCAGTACCAGAGCCCGGAAAACAAAGCCCTGCTGGAAAACATCAAACAGGCAGTTCAAGGGATCCAAGTGTAACCGTTGTGCAGAGGGAGACTTTTGTTCCCCGGCTGTGAGGGGTGTGCATCAGATCTGCGTTCAAACACAAAGTGATGGTTTGATCTCCTCGGTTCGGTGCAGTAACTTCTATAGTGTTATATATTCTACATTCTGTTCTCTGAAAAAAGAGGTATTATGCTTAGAAAGACCTCAGATATTTCTTTCTTTCTTTTCTTTCCTTTGGGCCTTGCTTTGTGGAATAACACAAGAGAATAAACGGCAAAATAGTTTTTGAGGACATTCACATTTTGTACGTTTTCATATGAGCTGACATAGTGTCATGTAATGTTTCTAGCTGCTCATGTATGCACATTTTTAGTGTATATTTCTGAACAGTAAGCTAAACGCTAATGGAACGCGAGTTCTTTTTATTGCTTGACAAACGAAGCATTTTAGATGAAAAAACTGGACAGTGGATCAAATGAAAAACGAGTACAAGCAAGGAGGAGACGACTTCTTTTTCTCCCAGACGGATGATTTTGGACTGGATGATTTTAGATGTTTTTGTTTCTTCTTCTTCTTCTTCTCCTTCTACTTCTTCTTCTTCTTCTTCTTCTTCTTCTTCATCTTCTTGCGTGTAGATTGTTCCAGAGCAAGAAGTGGTTTGCATATCGCTTTATTTTCTGACGATGCTTGAGAAAACGTTTGTGTTTAACGAAGAGAGAAAAAAAAAATGGAGGTTGTAGCTGTAAGGTGGGGGAATTTTAAACTGGTGCTGTAAAAGAATCTGGAGAGGAAACTGACCTGATGTTTGTATGAATGTATGTTTGAACAGTTATATTGTAAACATCACTACACGGAAACCCGATGGTGGAAATCCCATGAACCTAGGAGAGCCAATTGACTCCTAGAAGAATACATCTGTGCGACGCATGTTCACATGCTCATCCTAATCTCGAATAGAAACCATGTGTAAAGACAATGAGCTACAATCGACTCGTCTTAGTATCAAACCTGCTCAATTCAGAGACTCGCTAGGATCAAGAAATGTCTCAGCAATACAAGAACTAAATCATTTGTTTATAGTCGGTACGGGATGCAATCTGCAAAGAAACAAAAAAGGTTGGGAATATGCAATTTCTTGTTTATAAGCATAGCGGGGTGACATGAATCTTTTTAATATAGCCTATGTAAAATATTGATTTTTATACAAATCTTTTAATACAAAAAGTCTTTTTAAAAAAGGAGGAGGGGGAACCTGGACATTGAGTTTGAGAAGCGAAAGTATATGAGTTCCACTTTTTTTCTGTACGATTTTGCACAGGGACACCTTCGTTTCCATGTTTTGATGTTGATACAGAAACGTAAACGCAGTACCCGAGAGCCTGAGCGGAGGGTGTCAGAGGGTTTTGTAAAGAGTATTTATAGAGTATGACAGCGGGACTTACAGGGTCACTGTCCCCACTTATGTGCCAGTAGACTATTTGCACTTGTCCTTGAAGATATTATCCTTACGTACGGCGGCGTGCAATTTTTCCAGGTGACCTCTTTGGCACAGGAGCGGAGCAGCCAAACTGCTTGGAGCCACTGCAGACGTGAATTTAGTACCACTGAGAGGAAGAACAGGGACTTGAAATCAGAGAGGAGGAGGATTCTAACCATAGCAGTTATACTGTAGGCGTATATCAAGTGTAAAAACATTAACAATGTTGTTTCATTTTTGCTATGTTTTAGAAAGATGAAGTTATCCCCCAGCAGCACTTTATATCTAATCACTGTACAAAGGATTAAATAGTCAATCAATTCAAGGTTTGGAAAAAAAAAAAAAAGCAGAAGAAATGGTGAACGAGACCTACGAGGGGGGACACAATCCAGCGCCTCCCCTCGGCTCTGTTGTTCTAGTTGTTAGCGATCATGTTCAGAATTTGCCTTTTTGAGAGCTAATGCAAAAGGTGCTCGTCGTTCACCCGATTGAATCTCATCTATTGTACTTTACTGTCCTCTTTCAGGACCCTACTACCCATCATCCATGACTGCATACGCCTTTTTCCACAGCATCGTGTCTGCAGCTTTTTGCCAATATAGTAATGCTTCAGTAGAGTAATAGCTAGTACAAGTTTTTGAATTAATTCTCATTATCAGTAAAAAGGGAAAAAGGGATTTTAAAGCACAAACCGTTGGTACATAAATAACAAACTGAATAGAGTTATCTGTGACTATCTCTAGGGAACACAAAAAGGTCGTCACATATTTAGAAAGCGGACTTTTCATATAAATTATTGTGAATTCATCAGAGTTTATTATTTTATTTGAGCCGATTGATTTTGAGATTGTTTTCAGTGACCATTAACAAAGACAGGATTTTGTATAAACTATTGTGCTCTCTGTGGAACTGAAGTTTGATTTATTTTTGTACTACACAGCATGGATTTGTTGACATTTTAATTTTGCTATAAATGTGTGAGATCACAAGTTGCTGTGATATTTCATTTATAAATTGTGAACTTTGTACAATTTTTGTCATGCTGGATGTTGACACATCTTACTCTGAATAAAGAAAAACATGTGTTGCCAGAGGCCTGTAAAATAACGTCCTTTGTGTGTTCATGACCTTTGTGATGTCATTGCAGACCGTGTCTTTTTTTTTCAGAGAACTCTCCACCAGCAGAGGTCAGCAAATCATAATCTGTGCAATACACCATGGACTCACTTCAGGCTGAGCAACTGTCAGAGATACCTGAGTCATACCAGAAACAGGTATGAAATACAGTAAAGCAGGTCGTCTCCAGTAATCAAAGTGTTAACTTAGCAGGGACCATACAGCCTCAAGGCACTCACACTTCTTTTCTTCTTGATATAACCCCGAGGGGAAGTGATGATTTGATGTACAGAGACATGATACTCACACACATACAAACACAGGACCTACAATCCCCACAAACTGAGCTGCTGCTCTCCCCTAATTTAACTCGATTGGCAATAATTGATGTTCTGTGGAAACTGTTAATTTTGTTCAATATTACCTTAATAAGAAGTGTTATAAAATGAAGTGACTGCTGGGAGGTGATAGTTTAAAGATTAAAAAATGTTTTTAAGAGATGTAATAAAATCTGTCATTACATATTAAGATACCAAATTTAGTCACTATTACACAAACCTTTTATTTCTCTCAAAATGCTCAGACAAATTTTGTTTCAAGTCTGGAATAAAATGTATGTGACGTAATGAAAACCTTTTCTGCAAAGTTATGTAGCACATGATGAGGCACACACTTAAAGAAAAGATGCAACAGAAATGATGATGGAAACTGTCGTATCTTTGACCTCTTGACCTCTGCAGGCATCGAACCGTACTCCTCTTAGTGTCCTTTAAACTCTCAGTCCACCTCATTATCTCTCAGAAATCATGACATCAGCTCAGAAAAACACACACCAGTTGGTGTTTTGCTGTGTTGTAAAAACTCTTATCACAAAGTGTTAAACGACTAGTCGACGTAAAACCATTACAGGTTTTACAGGAGAGACACAGACCAACTGGACCCAGAGGCCTCTCAGTGTGAGCGTCTGATGGCACCTCGATCCCCTCCTCTTCCTTCTCCATCACCTTCTTCTCTTTCTCTGTGGGAATGTAATAAAACACAGATCAGAAATATCATTAAACCTCTCCTCTTGTTCTCCTGTTTGGGTTGTACCAAGCCTGAAGACCACACAGGTGAAGCCCATCTTCTAGTGGCCTCTCCTTCTCCCTTACATTCAGCAGCCTCTTCCAAATGTTTTAGGGGAGCTGGATCGAACTTTCTGCCTTTACCCCATTTGAAGAACCTCTTGCATCCTGCCGGTGTCTCCTCTTCCTGGTTTGTATCCAAACTGTTCTCAGGGTGGGAGTGGGCAGGAGCTTCCAGAGAGGGGGCTTTCCCCTCTTCTTCCTACATAGAGAATGAAACATTTTCCTCATCTTCAGAGGATCTTGGAGACAGAACCTGTGCCACATGTATCTGGATCACTGATTGGACCATATGGGGAGCGTTCATGTCTTTTATGGTACCAGCAGCCTCTTGAGTCACTTTACTGACGGTGACGGCTGGGTTGTTGCAGGAAAAGGAACTGCAGGAGGAAGGTCTGACACTGAGCATGGACCTGTCCTCGCTGAGGGAGCACCAGGTTAAAGAGTAGGACATCTCCTCATTGATTGAAGGAGAATGGTGTTACTACCCGGCTCTTTAGGCTGCAACAAAAACAGAAGTCGGAGACGAGGCGACCCCACCTCTGTTAAACGTGGACCAGAACCTGTAAAGGAAAACAGACAAACAGCACAGGAACACCTACAGGTGTGGAGGGGTCGTCATAGTGGTGATGATCTATGACAGGAACTTTCTCTAAAGGATCATCACAGTTCATCAGGTTCTCTTTGTCCACATCACTGATGTGTGAGTTGATGGAGGAATAATCTCCACAGGAGGAAGGTCTGACACTGAGCATGGACCTGTCCTCGCTGAGGGAGCACCAGGTTAAAGACTATGACATCTCCTCTTTGACTGAAGGAGAATTGTGATGATCTGTGACAGGATTGTTCTATCTTAATAAACAATGTTTGAAGTGTGTGATTATAGTAATCATATTTTATTTAGGAGACTCTGTGCTTTAATAAGTCGCACATTAAATTGATGAAGTACATCAGTGTGTACTACATATCATAAACACTTAATATGATCAACTAAAGGTTGGAATACACAACGCACTATTCTATACAGATAACTATGCACTAAAAGGCTTGAAACATTGAGGTCTAATGAAACTGAGACTCTGATCTGCACAAGCAGATGACGCCTGGAATGTCCCTTTTTCTGATGGTAATGTTGAAAGAAGAAAAAAAAACAAGAAATCTCGAGGTACATTTAAAGCACTGATATTAAATGTATACTTAATTGTCTCCGGCCTGTTACATTTCCAGATATGTAGTGTAATGCCTACATTTACCACTAGATGTCAGCAAACTATTCACAAAGGAAAGATGCTCTTACAGCTGTAGATGAGACGAGAGTTTGCAGAAAAAAAGTGTGAATTTTCAGTTTTAAAGTTGTTGCCAACAGATAAAAATAGACATTTAACAAAAGGAATGTATTAATTTACGATAGAATTGATTTTGTTTTTTTAAATAGGCTATTGGTTGATTATGAAGAAAATGATTCTGTCTCTAATTTGTTGATTTGAGTTCTCTCTCTTCTATTTATATTCTATTTTTCTGCTGTTTTGTTTATGTTTGTGCCTAATAGAAATTGCATTTTTTTCTTGGGGGATAAATAAAATGTATTTTTTGGTAGGTCTCTCTCGCCCTCTCTCTCGAAAACATAATGATGGTGAAAACACATAACTATCTGATAACCTAGAATATCTTCAATCAATGAATTTTTATGTCTAAGTATTGAAAAACTTTCTTAAAATAACAACTTTAAATCTCAAAATAATGACCTGGTTCTGAAAAGAAAATCACTTTTTTAGAATAATGATTTAATCAGGCTACCTTAAATAACTATACAGCCTATATCTTTTTATAGTCTTTAATTCATCACTAGCCTTTTATAAGTCATTTAATGCTCTAATAACAATCTAATTCTAATGATTTTATATGTTTGACATTACAATGACTTTATTACGCATTTTTTTTCTTTAAAAAAAAAAGTGGCAGAAGTGGGCTTCGTAGTATCTCGACCCGAATACCTAAAAAATGTTCAATGGAATTTGGTGAGGGGAGGCAATTTGCAGATAATGGGATATGGGGGCGCTGTAGAGGAATTTATGCATTTGCAATAGGAAATGACTTTTAACGTAAAATATGCTACAAGGCGATCGTTTTGTAAATGAGTCATAAAGCTATAGATTAAAAAAAAATCTACATGTTGCCTTATTGAATTGAAGTAAAGTTGTTATACAGTTCTTCCTCTCAGATTTGTGCTGGACTTCCCTTGTCTGGGATTGTAACACACTGCCCCACTTCTCTCTCTCTCTCTCCCTCTCTCTCTCTCTCTCTCTCTCCCTCTCTCTCTCTCCCTCTCTCTCTCTCTGCAGACCTGCCTCTCAGTCAGTGTGTGAGAGGAGCAGCTGGCGGTCTCTGCTCAGCTCGGCTCGGCTCGGCTCTCTGCTCGCACAATGGCGCTGCGGGCTGCCCACCTCCTCTCGGCTTTGTTAGTGCTCTGTAGCGGACCACAGCTTGTTTTAAGTTGTCCGAGTCGCTGTTTATGTTTCCGCACCACCGTGAGATGTATGCATCTAAACCTGGAAACCGTACCAGCAGTTTCTCCCCAGACTACCATCCTGTAAGTAACTTTTTCCTTCAGCCTGCAGGCTCACTGCACGGGAATGCAATGAATGCTCCCAAAGCCGGCAGCCCTTTTCCACATTAGAGGCCCTCTTGTGAAGTTCTACTGGATTTTATTATCTGACTTGATAAAGCATGTAGTCGCACAGTGTTTGCATCTCAAACAGCGTGATTTAGGTTTACATTTAAACAGAGACTCTTGGAAATCTTAGTTCCCATGGTAGTAAAGAGGTTATTGCAATTTCTCAGGAAGTTTTCTCAAAGTTCTGACACCTGCCAGTGAGTTCAGCTGTTGTCTGTAGAGGTTAATGGAAAGGGTTTTTTAGGGTCACACAGCTGGTGAAGTCAGCCGCAAGCAATGTGGAGGGTAAAGCTGTTCAAAAGAGGTCTCTGCAGGAGAGAGAGTTCTCAGCAAGTGTTAACTTCTCCTGCATAGTATAAATCATTACTCCTAGTAAATCCCTTACAGGAAGAAAAACACGGTCCTATCCTGCAGACTTATTTATTGGATGTG